AATGTTTATTTCTCATTTTAAAGAATTCTTGTTGTCTTTGTTATATGTCGAAATACTCGAAATGCTTCACAGTACAATAAATCATGATGTATTGTACTGTGAAGCATTTCGAGTCAGGGGTCAGCTAAAAACAAGTTTCTTTTTAATCTTTAATCCTCACAAAGACACGAGGGCCTGTGGTTCCATTGCATTAATTGACTGTAAAATTTTGGAATATTGTTGAAAGCGGTGTATAACCCACATCGCTCATTCCCGTGAATGGCATACGCATACGCAAGAAAAGGCTTGACTTAAATCAGTCATACAGACCCTGAAAGAAATATATCCAAAAAAGACCATGCAAGTCTAGAATATGTGGCAAGTCTAGATTTCCACAACTTCTGCAAATAAAGAAAGTCTCTAGTTTAGGATTATCTGTATGAATATTTTTAGTAAAATATGCTTATTTCAGAGACTAGACGATAGTCTTGCTGGAGTTATACGTGGTGCTTTAATACGGAGACCTAGTTACACAGCAAGCGGCAGCGCTCACCATCTTGAACATGTTAACGTACGTGTGTTGTGCGACCTTGCGATCACAGTGCCAACAGATATCCTCATGCATAACAGGCGGCGAGGCTTCCTGGTCCATTACTTGGGGGAAACAAGAAGGCGTTTTTGTATGTTTGTACACATCTGGGAGAGTTACGCGAGGCTTTCAAATAACAACACTATTTCACGCTGCGTGTAACCTTTATACCTTCAATGCACGATGTAGTTGTGAAATGATCATATGTTTATACTTATGAAGGATTTTGTTGGATATTTCATATATTCCATGTGTTATGTTTGTTCCATGGATGTATTACTGTATCAGGCAACAGAGTAGGATTTTACGACGCATCAAGAAACACCTTCAGAATACTGTATCACAGTTCCTCGTGTCTGAACTCAACTTATTTCACGCAAGGCTGCAAGGCATATCATCTCTTTATGTACGAAAATGACTTAAAAATAGTCGGAATGGATATACAGAAATTAACAATATATTTTTGATAGAACCCAAGGGCATTTTTAAAACGTTTGGTCCAAACAGGAGATCATACCCTTTCATATGCGAACGTTAAGCAGGTGCTTCCCACAATATCTCAAAATGTATGTTCACGAGTTCATGTGTTCACGTGCTGCAAAGGCACCAAGCACTTTGGTGTATTAATTTCATAATTGCAGGGCCGGCACTGCAGTTTTCTAACTGATTTAAAAGACGACGGTACTAAGAATGAACTTTTCTTGATAATTCAACGCTTGATTGCCAGTATGACAGATGTTATCAGTGCGAGGGGTGGCTACACCAGTTATGTTGTGGTCGCAAGTTGTTGTTCATGCAATCACATCAATCATTATTTGAGAATGAAAAAAAGATGTTTTTATCAACTTCTTTATTTGTATTTTTAAACACAACTTTACTTCTTTCTCCTTCTCTCTCATTCCCAGTTTGAAAGGACACAGTTCTCCCATACAACCGAAGAGAATCTTTCCAAAATAGTGTAGTTTTCAAAAAACAAATTTCTCAACCATAAGTTAAGAGGAGGATTATCGTGACATATATATTCTAATTGGTAGGCTATCGAAAGGTCATGTGACCTGAGTTCGGTCCACCTCTTTGATGGGTTCTCAGATAGTAACTGCTGGGTCATGTGACCTGAGTTCGGTCCACCCCTTTGATGGGTTCTGTGTAGTGCGGCTGCTGGGTCATGTGCCCAGAGTTAAGCTGGTTTTATTGCTGGGTTCTCAGATAGTAACTGCTGGGTCATGTGACCTGAGTTCAGTCCACCCTTTGACTGGGTTCTCAGGTAGTAACTCGCTGGGTCATGTGACCTGAGTTCGCGTCCTCCCCTTTGATGGGTTCTCAGATAGTAACTGCTGCGTTTTGAAATAAATATTCAAGGTACATACATGAGTTCATTCACATTCTCTTAAACAACATTAGTTGAAGTAAACGTTGGGTTCTCAGATAGTAAGGGGCGCTGGGGGATGGCGTTTTGAAAAGGTTATTCCCCACAAGGTACATATATTCAGCCCATTTCTGGTGTCCCCGCCGTGATATTGCTGGAATATTGCTAAAAGCGGCGTTCTTTGTTCCAGTCAGTATCTCTTCAAAAAAGAAAAGAAACTCATAGGAGATAACGAGAATGTAGAGTTTATGCTTATTCAAGAAGCATCGACTACAAATGCAATATTTCGAATGAACAATGCCAGCAACATGCATGTTCGTTAAATGGTGTAGTGCTCAAACGCAATAATTCTAACAGTAGACGCTTTACACAGCAATATTGATGAGACTGCTCTAAACTGTCATGGAAAGGAACCTAAACACGTATTGCACGTGCAAGATGTGACTGTTAAAAGTCAACATTATTTTATACATTTGTCAACGTATTAGAAGTGGGAGAATGCCGACACAATCGCCCTCGGACGTCTTCAAGCTGGAGAGTCTGTTGTCTGCAGTTGCACGTTATTTCAACATCTACCAGAACACTACACTCCACAGCACCATACATCATTATTGGGATCGTCGGAAACCCGTCTCAATTCAACCAAAGATTGTCCCCGAAGTGGGGGTCGAACAGTCACGCCCTCTGCACAAAGTCGCTACATCCTACTGTTTCATCTACTTCATCAACATGCTTCTACCACCTACACTGCAGGAAGTGTGTCTGGTTTAAGGTGTTATGTAGTCTGTCGTACAGACCCTGAAGCAAATATATCCAAGAAAGCCCACGCAAGTCTAGAAAATGTGGCAAGTCTAGATTTCCTCAGCTTCAGAAATGAAGAAAGTCTCAGGGCTCCATTTCATTATATATATATTTTTTTTACTATGAACTTTCTTCAGTAAAATATGTTCATTTCAGAGACTAGTTGTTAGTCTAGGTGTTATACAAACAATCAGGAAGTGTCTGCGAGAGATGGAAACTAGACCCAGAAGACCAGCATTGGTCCCTGTTTTGAGACATTTATATTCTCGACATTGCGAAAAAGTAAACCTTTTAGAACAACGTCATAACGGGCTGACGTCATGGCTCTGTTCAAAATCGTGCTTTCTCTCCTGACCAAAGTTCCTTGCAGCCAGCCGAATACCTACGCCACAGCCAGCTGTATGTGATGATTCGTCACATCTTACACAGCATGTGTTTATCACCTGTTCCTGTTCACCTGTTTGAACAGCCTACATTTTAAAATAAACATATGGGATCTTGAACTTTCATTGAGAAAATGTCCAGAAGCGTGAAAAACTATTTCCACTTCATTTCCACGGATCCACTTGCTGTCATGTCATGGAAGCCATACGAGCACTGGCATTATGGTCGCTTTCATACATAAACTATATATTGAACGCCTCACTAACCCAGTCGTTGAAACATATATCAGAACAGTACGTAAAGCACAACGACATACTTCCATTAGGCCAGACTGCTCTGGTTGTAGATAACACGTTGTTTACAAAACGTCCGGTCCGAAGATGTGTAAATTAGCCTGTATTAGCGGTGTAATGCTAAGTCAGTACAACGTCGGACTGTGGTTACCTCCCCAGGGAACTAACGTATCCTTGATGACATCGCGCTCTCGTTACCGTCAAACAAGATGGCGCATTCACACAGGTGGCATGTGGTCTTGTGCACAGAGCCTAGGTCGCAAATCACTTGGTTAAGCAACGTTGTCACTCAGCGTCCTTGGATGGGTGACTGTGTTCGGCAGCTTGACTCCTAAGAGTGTCTAGATCTTAAGTCCTGCCCCACAACGAAGCACACGTGAAACGTGTGTGATATACGTGATTAATTGTCTCTGTACACCCAGCAGTGAATGGCTACCCGTTGGGATAAGTCACGTGACTATTAACCTTCCAGTTTCTAGAGCCGTTATTAACGTCCATTATGATCTTCAACTAGGCCTGTATTTCACAACTTTCAAAGTTTTTTACTGCGATTTCTGACGGCAGCCATTATGCAGACTATAGATGAGTGTTTACCTGCAATGCATCATGGATAATAATTAGGGGATTCCCCTAAGTTAATCATGGTTTAATGACGGGACCTTTATTAGAGGCATACTTAGTTAATGGGTGTTTAAATAAGGGTTTATACAACCGTATTTAAACACTTTATTAACTAATCAAACATTAAGAATTTAATCAATGATTAGTGTTTAATTGATGATTACATAATTACGCGTTGATACAACTGGGTCCTGTTTACAAAGGACTGTTAACACACAAGTAGTGTTTCAGCGTCAACAGTAGCAGGTGCTCAGAATATTTCACGTGTTCATGCTGACCCTGCACTATTTGACCTGATGTAAATAAACGCGCCCACTACAAGCTATAAATGCGGGAGATTCTAAGATTGGAGACTGTATACTGAAGCCACCTGACTTAACGGTAAATATATCAGCTGATCTGAACTGATTCTTGACATTTTATAAATTAATTAAAATACATATGCATGACGTATCTGATAAGTGTTTCCTGATGTCATACTTTCATCTAAAAATACGTGCTGATTTATCGTAATATAATGATTGAATAAATTAACTGAAACAGTTTTGTAAATTTCATTATAAAATATGTAACGATTTGCTGATTTCATTTAGGAATACCTTAATATTATAGTGTAAGACCTTCATTTAATTAAGATTTGATTCATGTGTCACTTCTTCAGCATTATGTAAATATCATGTTGTAGTGCCTTCATTAAGATGGAATTATTTAATTATTAACGAAAGGTTTTTCGTAGTAACATTCACTATTTATAATTCATTTGAGAATATATCTATTATGTATTTGTAATGATTTGATTTTTACTGAAGAATAACTTTTACGTGTGACAATTTCACTAATAGATAATTAATTCTCCTTATGTTGCACACGGGACCGTAATACTTTATACATAAACTGAAATGAAACGAAATTTCTAATTTACCATAAGAAAACCAGGAATTTTGTTTGGTCAAGGGCGGAGTGCAGTATGGATATGAGGGTGCTGGGAGTCCTGGTGTGCTTCGTGTCAGCCTGTGTGCTGTGCGCGAGGGTGAAGCCTTACGACAGGTGAGTCTCGACAGCCTGTACAATAGTTGATACCGATTAATGGAAATAGCTGCTTGTGTGTGCGTGCAACTCATCCCCACTCAACAAACTATCCTTTGGTATATTACCAGTTCACCGATGGTGGCCTGTTTGCCCCTTGCACATTCACAGATTGTTAAAAGCAAGAATATTTAATTAAGGGCACTGCCACCACATTTCAAAAAAAGGGACAGTACACGAAACGTATTTTAACTATAGTATGCTCCTGGGCTGGTTTAAAGATGTTTCTTAAACATTTCCATATGGAGCAGTGTTTTTTTCATAGAAACAAACTGTTTAAATCATTTGGTTTATATACTCTCTATAAAAATAAAACACAACACAGAAATCGATAATCTAATGATATTTGTAACTGACCTGTGGCAGTATTTATTTTACTACCGTGTCATTTGCTTCTATTTCACATTACACCGCCGTTTTCTTTACCCACAGTTTTATCAGGTATAGGCTTCATCTTAGTAATACATTGAATGATACCACTGTCAAGTATAAAATCCCAAAGTAACATTGAATTTTAAAATACTTAACAAATAAAAGTTACAAATTTAAATACCGGTATATTTGAAAATCACGAATTTGGTTTTATTTTGTAAATATTTCCATAAATAAATTGACTGGCTGGCAATAGAATGGGTGGGGGGGTGTACTGTTAAATCAGTCATTTCATGTCACCTACCTGCTCGAACCTGTGTGTGTAATGAGATTTTCTTTATTGATTCGTTCCTTTTGGAAACTGCTTTGTCATTCCATGATTTATAAATTGATTTAGCCGTTGAATTACATGTCTAGCAAAATTATTTCATAAAATAACTAACCCTATTAGTCACCTGGCGAAATTACTCAAAGGTTTAGTCATTTCACGGTCCAAAGTCAACATATGTTGTTTGTTGAACTGCTTTTTGTTATTACATACTATGAAAAACACTAGCAGTGTGTGATTCAGTGTACGGCATTCTTAAGAAATATACGTCAGAAATTATTTCTGTTATCGGTTGTCTGTCCATATATATGCGAGAAATATGAACATGGTTTCAAAGATTGATGTAATTTCATCTCCAGCTTCAAACTTGTGAAAATTACTGCCGGATCGTCGCAGCGCTTGGATAGGATTTTACAACAGCTTCCCAAGGTAGGTGACGCGTACTCAGCCTTCAGAGATGACCGGGTTTGAGGGCATGGTACCTTTCGGTAAGGAGACAACGAGCACATGTCACCATGATATATAGGTAGGAATAAATACAACATACGTAACCCATAACATATAGGTAGGAATAAATACAACATACGTAACCCATAATATATAGGTAGGAATAAATACAACATGCGTAACCCATAATATATAGGTAGGAATAAATACAACATGCGTAACCCATAATATATAGGTGTGAATAAATACAACATACGTAAGCGCGTAGGACTGACAGTGTGTATGGACAAGATGGTTCTGGAGCGTAGGACTGGCACTGTTCTAGGGCGTGGTACGTGTCATCTGCATCACAGTGGTCGGGACCAAACTGGTGTAGAGTGTTTCAGAACGGGATACACACACAGTCTAAAACAGTGTTTTAGATCAAACTCGCGTAGAGTGAAAAATGAAGCATACAACTTTATGAATGACAACTTCTTGTTTTTGCATTGAGTGACGTTTCGATGTAGATTCTTACACCGTTATCAAGCTAAAATCTACATGGAATCGTCGCTTTATGCAATTACAAGAAGTTGTCATCCATAAAACGGCATGCTTCATTTTTGACTCAACAACTTTGAGAATGCCGAGCCAAGTCTTTCAGAACAGCACAGCCTAAAACAATATTTTGAAAACAACAGAAAGATAACAGTTAGTTACTTGAGGACAATACAAACAGAGGCATGTTGGTGGAAAAGAATTTATGTGGGGTAAACCTTCTCATTCACTATTGTTTTCGCCGTTTTCTTTTTCAGATTGACGACATAAATAGGAATCCTAATGACAATACCGTGATTGCCATAGTAAAACCAGATGATCTGACAGAGGTTGTTCAGACTGTCTCAGAAGAACATGGTGACCTTGAGATATTAGAAGACAATTTACAAGAGTGAGTGACCAATGTGTTAAAGAAATTATTCCATGTTTTCTTTTATTTATTTGGTTGACCATGACTGTTGTTTGTACACACAATAAGTATATAACACACTATGGATTGTATTGTCTTACTAGTTCTGTCGATGAGGAATTTCGTCACCTCGACATGAGAAGACGCAAACGAGCAACTCTGAATTTGGACGATGCAATTAAAGAATATCTGAAGCTTGATGAGGTATGGTGGTAGAATTGGTCGCATGGCAACGTGGTAACTTTTCTCAAATGAAAACAAACAATACGCCAACGACACGTGTACCAGATTGAAATTATGTGAATTAAACTGCCAGGTAATAAAGTTACCTGCCTTGTCTATATCATTTAGGTGTAAGACATTGCGATTCAGCAGTATTCCTCTTATTCCTTAAGGGGCAGTAGGGGAGCCTAGTCATCAAAGCGTTCGCTCGTCACGTAGAAGACCCGGATTCCATTCCCTACATGGGTACAATGTGTGAAGCCCATTTCTGGTGTCCCCCTCCGTGATATTGCTGGAATATTGCTAACGACGAAAAAGCATACTCACTCACTCACTGTTATTCCAGAACAACTGACACTCCAGTGCCACTCGTGATAGTATATGTTGATAGTGTACGCTTGGCTTTCAGATATACGAGTTTCAAGATCGGGTAATTAAATCATGTAACGACTTTGTAAACGTGGAAAAGAAAACTATAGGTTACTCGGAAGAGAACAGGACCATCAACGTCATGAAGGTGAGACCTCAGTCCATAGATTATGCGAGCGTACCTATATGAAATGTCATGAAAGTAAGACTCAAGTCCATACGACATATAGTACAATAACATAGATCAGGCAATGAATATGATACTCTAGCCTATTGAATACAGATTCCAGTAGAGTGTACAATATCGTATGGATGAGATAGGAAGTCAGTATCTTATACGTGAAATCCTGGTCAATGCCACGAATGTGAGAAATCGGTCTATACAATGTCTGTTGGTTTTGCCCTTCCAAAGCGTAATTACAAAATCGGTGTAAGCATCATTGTGACATCTCGTAGTTGATTACATCGCATCCCAATTGCGTAGATCGATGCTCATAATGTTGATCACTGAATTGTCTGGTCCACACTCGATTATTTGCAGACCGTCGGAATAGCGCTATAATATTACTGAGGGCGGCTTGAGACAATAAACAAACATACTTGATTAAATATTTATATCTCTCTTTGATATTGACGTTCAGGGATGCAGTATTTGACATCATGGAGAACCACGATCACGATTATGCATCGGTAATACAATTTCCAAAAATCAGCTTTATAAAGTAGAAAACTGGTAGCCTTTCTATTCTTACATGAATGTGTCTGGCGTCAAGCACAAGCCATTTCATAACGGACTGGTTCTGAAATGGCGGCAATGAGATCAGCTGTAAATTCAGCCCTGATACTATGATCTCAACATCTTTGAAACAACATTTAATCCTGGCAGATATTCCCAAAGAACCCAGGCCGAAACAGGAAAACAATCTTCATCGAGAGCGGAGTGCACGCCAGGGAGTGGCTGTCTCCTGCCACAGCCAACTACATCATCTACCAGGTACTGGAGACTCGGCACTCTTAACACATCCTCGTCCCCAATGATAACATGTGCTGGACTAGAGTAGGTTCTGACCATTAAACAGTACCTGTAAACAGCTGACACTGTAACTTACGGAAGCCTATTAGGGCCATCAAATTTGTATTTCTTGCAAATACCAAATGCTATGTTGAAATATGAACGTAATATGTTGCATTTTTAAGATTCTAGATTAAATATTCAATGTATGCTAGAATATAGGGCTACTATGTTGGAAGTTCATATTTCTATTCCACATTAAAGTAATTCAGTTGAATTTCAAAAGCAAAAGCAAATTAAAGCAATTACCTTGTATTTCGGCATAGTATCATGAATTTTCGAAATACTATCTTGAAATGATATGGTTGTATATCATTATGGTTCTGTAGCATCACATCTCTGTGTTTTTCTTCATGTTTCAGTTGGCATGTAACAAGAGCAACGCTGACATGACTCAGTTATTCGACTGGGAAGTTGTGTCCCCTGTCAACCCTGACGGGTATGAATTCACACATTCGGTAGGTTCTCTCACAGAGCAATGATAGCGTAACACTGTCTGACCAGGTAGACCTAATATTTAGATATACAGAGGAAATATCGTCATTAGCTTGCTTTCGAGTATATAATTACACAGCTAATATGCGTTGTGGATCCAAACAACTCGACCGTATTTGTGGCACAGTAGTGACTACAAAGGGAGGCCACTCTGTAATTTATTTCCTAAGCTGGTTGGTTGAGCCTTATTTCTGACCACCATTTCAAAATTATGATCAAAGATGGGGTTTTTTTTCATTCCCAAAAGTCTTTATTTCAAATGGGAAAATTATTCAAAATCTGTTGAATTATCAAAATGTACGCTTACGTGGTTCCCGTTTTCAAAGGGTTATCGGTACTGGAGGAAGAACCGCCAGAGGAACCCTCGGTCTCACTGTGTTGGGACAGACCTCAACAGAAACTTTGGAACAGGATTTGGACAAAGTACGTGATATAGGACACACAGGGCCGTAGTTAGACCGGGGGGCAGATTACTTTATATGCATCAAAGTATTGATATAACACTCTTTTAAAATTGATAGTGCCCCCCCTTATTAAGAAAAGTTAACTACGGCCGTGACGCATGACTGCTGTAGCTCTAATGGCGCTTATGGAACGGCACAGTTGGACTTTTACCATTACATTTTGTCAGTGAACGTATAATCTTTTTTCGTTTTAGTTTTTTGGTATCCAACTTTATCTAACACCTTGGACCATCTACTTATTTTCTTACCAGATGCAATATTTCACTTTTGGGGCTTAAAACGTTTCCGACATAATTTGGACAAATCCTTCGCTATCCATAGTGTATTTGGGTTGCTTTGGAGCAGTCAGGAATCCCAACAATGACCCTCATGCACAGCTGGATCACAGGTTTTCGGATGTCCGTTTTCGGAAGGCCGTGTTAATTCGCACAGAAACAAGGCGGGTAGCGTCACACAGACATTGTACATACACAGATGATGGCTGTTCAAGATAACGTTGTCTCTAATAAGTTAGTTACATGTTTTGCAATTGTTCATATGATAATCAAAACAGTAAGGTATCTGCTTAAGCTTCCGAAATATCATAACACCACGATACTAAAAAATGCACGCAATTAATTAAGAGTGACATGAAGGTACAAGATGTAATAGCACGTGTTGCACAGGGGGATCAAGTGGACAGACCTGTTCAGAAACCTACAGGGGTCCATACGCCTACTCAGCACCCGAGGCGAAGGTCCTGAAAGACTACATCCTAGATACCCATGAGGACATCCTCAGCTACCTGTCAATACACACGTACGGCCAGTACTTCCTGCTTCCTTGGGGCTACAAGAAGAAGCTCGTGGCTGACAACGACAAGCTGGTGAGGTGATATTGTACAAGCAGGATTAATGAAACTCCTTTCATCTGTCTGAGTGAGTGAGTTGAGCTTTATGCTGCTTCTGAAATATTCTGCAGTATCACGGCGGTGGAGACTAGAAATTGACTTCACAATTTGTGCCAATGTGGAGAATCGAACCCAGGTCTCCGCGGACGTGCTGAGGGGACAAATTAGCCACTAGGCTACTCATCCACCCACTTCTCCTCCCACCCCTCCGCCTACCAGTCATCTACTGAACAGTTTCTGACCAATTCTTTCATAGACAAGAACATGAAGGCGTGACATGTTTTGTGGATGGAAAACTCTTCATTGTCAGTAAATGACCCGTTGAACGTACAATTAGCCATGAGATGTCGTCATGAACTTTAATGACGTTTCCATCCATACACATGTTTGTGTGTTTATATTTTTCTTATTCATAATTGCCCCATCGAATACTTGTACAAACTGGTTTGCTAAAAGAAGAGAGAAAAGAAGGGCAGAAATAGTTTTATTTCAGACAGGTTGTGGAATTGCTTTGGAAACAGTCAATGAAATATTAATAATTAATGGCTGCTTGTAATGCGCTCCGTCCATCCGTTGATGCATGCTCGAAGCATTAGCATCATGTTTATCCCAGCCAATTGGTCCGTGTGCACTTCACACTTCCTGTGTCAGGTCCCTGGGGGTATACAACCCAAAGCCACCACCACAACAGTAATGAGATAGGTTGATATACAAAAAACACCTCTATTTAAATGAGCAAACCTCTTACTTTCATGCTGGCTTTCTTTCCCTTGGGATACTCTTTCAAGAAGGTGTGTTAATTAGCTTCTAATCTACTTTCAGACTTCCCTTGCAAAACTGCCGAGAAAGCAATGGGTGTTTCATTCAGGATAGGATCTGCATATTCCATGCTATGTAAGTGTGTCTTTAAAGCTATCTTGAAGCATCTTCCCTGGGTCCGGGAGGTCGTTGGTTTGTCGCAAGCATTCCAACCTACGTTAAAAGATGGTGCTTGCCGTTACCATTCCAGGCGCTCGGGATTGAGCACCATTATCCTGGGCTAGTGCAAGCACGCACACACGCACATGCACACACACAAATGCACATCGCTATATAAGTGTAATAATCTTGAACGTTATGTACATACGTTAAACCCTATTTCACCTCAGCTCGGTCTCCCAGTCTTTCTATCATACATAGTAAAAACAACTGATCTCACACTACTGTTCTTACGCCCACTGTCCTTCATTGTTATCACCCAGTTCATGCTATTGGTTTCAGACCCTGCCGCAGGTATAACAGCCGACTTTGCCCGCGACAAGGCCAAGGTCGCCCGTTCCTACACGTGGGAACTGATGCCAAGGTCAGGCAGACGACTATCTGGTTTCTCTCCAAGTGAGAACCTCGTTCCCTTCTACACCCCAATCATCTGGCGAGGGCTGCGCGCATACGCCTTGGCGGTCGCAGACGACGTAGGAATCACCTCAGAAGATGTTTATGTGGCGGGGGACGTAGTGCCGCCGATACCCAATCCTTACCCTGGCAGTATTCAGGAAGCCTCTCGAAACAGTTAGCATATACCCAGCACTGTTGCAAGTTCTACTAAATGAAATCGTGCTTAAATTTGTTTATTATTTATTGAGACAATGGTTTGCCTGGTCTATTAGGCCATCCTCATTTTTTTCATGTTTCTCATCTCCAAACTGGTGCTGATGAGGGGCGGGCGGGCGAAAAAAAATATAAAAAGCGAAAAAAAAAGAAAAGAATAGAAGCAGTTTGCCATCTTCTTTTCAAGCTGGTGACAGAAAATGACCCTCCTACAGTACCTAGACCATAAAAAGAGGCTTTTCTTATTGTGAGAATCCTTTTTTCTCAATTTTAGACAGTTCATATATCATTAAACATAAGGAAACAATATGGAATAATTATGCTACAAACTTTTAATAGAGCCTCTTTAAATGTCACATTGGATCAGAATACAACAAAGTCAGTTCTTCAAAACTGGCACTTTCTTTAGTTTGGGAGAGATTTATCCCTTTTTGTAGTTTTTTTGGCCACCGGTCAAAGGCTGTCGTCCACTGGTAGCTCACTGGTTGCAGGTCCACAGTTTGTTTAATTTCCAAGCGCAATACGAATTGACACGATAGAAGATAACGGGAAAACGCCATGAAAAATCGGTATATTGTCACAGCAATTCCTACGACAGAACACGAGACAGTGTAAGTCTCGGATGTCGTGGCATCTATGAAATAATGTAAACTCACTTTATATATCAGCCCTTATGTTATTTCCGACGGCAATTCTTCAACTATTTCCGCATTCAAATTTAACAAATAGTTCTGATACTACCACCGACCTCAACGTAAAAAGTATCGGAGATACACCTCTAACCAACGGACCTGTATCCCCTGGAAGACCTTTATCGCAAATTTGTAAATATTACACAACCCTGACAATTGAAGATATTCTGTGTAGAATGTAACCTTTAATTATAGATATGAATAGTACGTTTCGATCAGCAGTTCTTCACACATTTCATTCCGTTTTTTATTTCTGACGCTATGTTTCTGACGCATACTTAATGTAGGTTCTATCATGCATTTAGTCGGTTGCAGCATAAATACCAGTCATCATAGTCATCAATAAAAGATTTAGCCCTTATAAAATGTGCCCATCAGTCAGTGCTGTGAGTGCTGTGAGTCATTATATATGTTAATTCATTGATCCATTTCTTACAAAAGTTTAATACCATTCAACCTCAAAACATAAGTACTCATTTACAGAGATTTGTCTCAACAAACAACGGGTCATTCTGAACACCCAAGAGGATGTGTATGATAGAATTATATGTGTATAGAATGACATCTTCTTGTTTTAGTAACATTATGTTGATAAAATATTTCACGTGACAGACCATATACTATCTAGCTGTAGCTTTATAGTCTGATTTTGATTCAACGATTCTGAAGAAAACTTTAGTGTTATGTCTGTTTGTTAGGAATTAAAATGGAAAATGTGTTTAAAATCAATCGTTTTGATGACATAAATTCCATGTAGATATGTGTATGCATTGTTTATTTATATACAAATTTAACAGATAATACTTATGTACAATGACTGAATAAAGTCATGCATGTGTAATGTAATATTGAAGTACACACGCACCATCATACAAAAATATCAGATAAAATTCATGACGAAATTCAAACGTTGCATAACAATGTTTTCACATTAGCTCCCGACCGTACTGAATTACATGAATGTTGCCTAATCGGCGTAATACGATATAGATCTGAGTACAAATGCAAAAATACATTGCAGGCTTAAAAGTGTGATATTCAGACATCTAGTGCCAGATTTGAATCACCGATTGCAAAATGTCAAAATATGACCTTAAGAAGGATCAGCTGATTCCACCGCCTCGCTTCGAATGGCCTTTTTGCGATTTATTAATGCAATATAGGCAGTCGTAGCTATCCCCGGTGTATCATGGAATCACATAACAAATATTTCAGGATATCACACTTGATATATCATCGGTCAAGGGAAAAGATATACTGTCGATATGCACCAGCGTGTACGTTAACGGTGATGATGAAGGCTGCACTGGTTAACTGTCTCTAAGTGTTTAGTAACAAGAACAGCTCCCATCCCGCATAAGACATGCGCTGTCAGTTTAAGGTTGGACCGTCCGGATCAGAGCTCCAAGCGGATTAGTGAAGGGAAGATATATTCAAAAAGGTCGCCCATTTAGATGCTTGAGAGACTTTTCAAAATGTTATATTTTTTCAAAGTTGACTTTTAAGATACATGTTTCGTTTGATCGGGCTGAAATTATTGCTGTCGGCGGCATTTTGTAAAATAAAATAAAAATTTTTTTGTTCCGTCGGAAGGAAAATTTGGGTCGGTCGGGAGATGAGAAACACAGACGGCCTTATTTACTGGCCCCGTCATGTCGATGGAATAGTAATGATATCGGCGCAGAAATATTTTGTCTCACAATGTCACTTGACACGCTCCATATTACCGGGAGGGTTATCGGACTTGAATTGATTTGAAATGCTCCTTTCCGTGTGATCCAGACAGGAAGTGGAATATCCTGGAGGCAAACATCTACATTAAATATATATTAAAAGAAGAGTTAAAGAAGACGTAGTTTCATACACTTTACAATCTCGTATATGTTTTCTGCCAAGTATTAAAGACAATGTAATGAGAACTTAACATATGGTCATTAAAAGTGCAGATTCTAAAGTCTTTGTACTGTGAGAATACCACTGTTCCTTATTGTATACATACCGTGCGTAGATACACAACGTTCCAGTCTTATAGAATACCAGTTTCGATTTTATTTTCAAAAAGCTTCGTAAAAAGCAAACTAGTATTGACAAATACATGAACGGATCACTGAAACATCTGACATGACACCGGGTGTTTGCGAAAATGGTAAGGCGGTCCTGCTCTAACGGTAAGTCACGTTTGGTAACAAATAAAGCTGTGTTTGGCATTCGTGCCATCTTTACTGTAACACAATTATAAAGAAAAATACGACCAGCCCCAACTGTATTGATCTTATTCATAGACTACACAGCAAACATATAGATACATTGAGGAGTAGGCGGTCACACAGACTTCACGCATTCATCGGCCGCGGTGTGTTCTACAGTAGTAACGCTGTGTTGATATCTTGTCAACAAAAGACATACAAATATTTCTCCTAGCCGAGTCTCAGCTGCATTGACAGCGGAGTAACGCTGAAACTACCTGATCGTATCTGTTCGATCTGCTTATAACCCCAATCAATGACTACCTGTATAAACCCATAGGGAAAAAGCGATCGCGTTTCCTGTTGTGTATTGTGGTTTAACAAGGGTTTTGTTCGTGACCCGGTGTTTGATGTTTCGACAACACAACACATAGCACTGTGTGGCACACACACACTGAGCCCGGGTCTGCTGTCGTGAGTCTACACCCATGGTGAATATAACTGGTGGCGAAACTATTGTCTGGATGTGAGCATGTAAGTTTAGCTATGTGATCAAGATATTAGCTGTTAATGGTCATGCGTGTCTATAAACATGTAAATATACAATATTCGTAGAGATATTAGGCTACATCTGATCCGTTAATTTTTATGTATGTCTGTGAATTGTTAACCGTGCCACATGATTCGCATGTGACAAAGATATTACTAGCTGATGTGTATATCATGAATGTATATTGTCTGTAAATCATTACATCAGCATTTGCTTCGTGTTAAAAAGCAAAAGGATTCTACTCGTCGCTGGTATATGGGCCATGTGATTAATATCAGGTCTGGTTGTTTAGGAGTCTATTCTGATTGTTTCGTGTTATCTGACACCGTGTATGTAGGTACATGTAAATTGGTTGTGTGTCAGCTCACACCGTGTCTGTAAGTATATGTAAATTGTTGTGTGTCAGCTCACACCGTGTATGTAGGTATCTGTAAATTGTTGTGTGTCAGCTCACACCGTGTATGTAGGTATATGTAAATTGTTGTGTGTTATCTGACACCGTATATGTAAGTATATGTAAATTGTTGTGTGTCAGCTCACACCCTGTCTGTAAGTATATGTAAATCGTTGTGTGTTATCTGACACCGTATATGTAAGTATATGTAAATTGCTGTGCGTCAGCTCACACCGTGTCTGTAAGTATTTGTAAATTGTTGTGTGTTATCTGACACCGTGTATGTAAGTATATGTAAATTGTTGTGTCTGACAGAGTTGTGTATATACCTATATGACAGAATTGTGTATATACCTGTATGAGAGAGTTGTGTATATACCTACATGGCAGAATTGTGTATATACCTGTATGACAGAGTTATGTATATACCTTATTTGATAGAATTGTGTATATACCTTATTTCATTGAATTGTGTACATACCTGTATGACATAGTTGTGTATATACCTGTATGACATAGTTACGTATATACCTATATGATAGAGTTGTGTATATACCTGTATGACAGAGTTGTGTATATGCCTATATGACAGAGGTATGTATATATCTGTATGACATAGTTGTGTATATACCTGCATGGCAGAGTTGTGTACATACCTGTATGACATAGTTGTGTATATACCTGTATGACAGAGTTGTGTACATACCTGTATGACATAGTTTTGTATATACCTATATAACAGAGTTGTGTACATACCTGTATGACATAGTTTTGTCAATACCTGCATGGCAGAGTTGTGTACATACCTGTATGACAGAGTTGTGTATATACTAGTATGACATAGTTGTGTATATACCTGTATGACAGAGTTTTGTACATACATGTATGACATAGTTTTGTATATACCTATATGACAGAGTTGTGTACATACCTGTATGACATAGTTGTGTATATACCTGTATGACAGAGTTGTGTATATACCTGTATGACAGAGTTGTGTATATACCTAAATGACAGAGTTGTGTATATACCTGCATGGCAGAGTTGTGTATATACCTATATGACAGAGTTGTGTACATACCTGTATGACATAGTTGTGTATATTCCTGTATGACAGAGTTGTGTATATACCAGAGTTGTGTATATATATGACAGAGTTGTGTACATACCTGTATGACAGAGTTGTGTACATACCTGTATGACATAGTTTTGTATATACCTATATGACAGAGTTGTGTACATACCTGTATGACATAGTTGTGTAGATACATGTATGACATAGTTGTGTACATACCCGTATGACATAGTTGTGTATATACCTGCATGGCAGAGTTGTGTATATACCTATATGACATAGTTGTGTATATACCTGTATGACATAGTTGTGTATATACCTGCATGGCAGAGTTGTGTACATACCTGTATGGCATAGTTGTGTATATATACCTGTGTAACAGTGGCTATATGGCAGCGGTAGTGTACATAGATGGTACGGTACACTATATATATATGTGCCTACGTACGGTTGTGTTTCATATTGTAAGGCGGTATTGGTAAATAATCAACATATTTGTTCAGGTTTTATTACTCATTATCTGGCATAGAAAACTTGTAGCACAGGTACTAATTAGGTATAAATGGAACACATCGACCAAAATATGGATCCCACAAGACGGTTTCATAAAAGAATGCAAATTAGCTATTTATTTATTCATGAGTTTATTTCCCTTCTATTTAGTCTGAGAAATGTCAGGTGAGCCGTATCAACATAATGACCTGGCCCACTGACAGGAGTTCCACTGTAGGAGTCTGACCAGCCGGGCATAGCGACTGCCTTGGTCGTTAATTGATACAATTAGTCTGACGATTATAGGGAATTCCACGATCGCATTAATGAAGTTCAACCAATCCTCCTCATATTAATGATACTCGCCCATAATAACCCGTTTACTGCATTATCTGTCAATAACGAAACTGTGATAACTGAAATGACACGGTTGCAGACTCTGATATCCGACATCCTCATCAAGAATGAGAGAGTGAGTTTGGTTTTACGTCGCTTTTAGAAATATTACAGCAACATCACGGCGGGAAACACCAGAAATGGGATTGACACATTCATCAGGAATGAGAGTGAGTGAGTGACAATGGTTCTACGCCGACTTTAGCAAATCTGCAGTCAAGTATGATATTCACAAACTGGACCCATGTGGTAAATCGAACCCGAACGTTCTGACTGACCACTACCACTAAGCCAACGAACCTCCCCAAGGGGATAATGATAAAGGATGATGACGTCACCAATGACGATTCTACTGCTGGTGATGATGATGGTGATGATGATGATGATGATATAATGACGTCACAATAATAGAATCTAGTGTTAGGTCTGTTTATTCCATATCAAATAGACGTAACCAATTACTCCAGTTGAGAAGATACTAACTTGAAAAATTTACTTATAAGAGGTAGGTAACTATAGAACATAAAAAGAGACACACCATGGAACATAACCAAATACGCACCTGGCTAAATCAATGGCATCAAACTGGCCCATACACCCCATACCACGTAGGACTGATCCGGGGATCTAAGCAGAGCCGTCAAGTGCACCCCGACCCGTGCCACAGTAGGTTTAGTGATCAGACAGCGTGAGATTTATGACATTGTTATTGATATAACTGTCAAGTTGAGCCCACTTTACTCTGTTGTGAGGGGGGTGTTATCTTCGAGGGTCTTAAACCCCGACCTGTAACACATAACGTATGTCTTGGCTGGCTGCTGGGTCACATTGGGAGATATATTGTACACACGGAGACACGCATTCAAGAGATGATATATATTTTATGATCGTCTATTCCGGCCACTCGAATGTAACTACAAATGTTACGTCATAGCCACACAAAACCAAGATAACCACCAAACTACCGTTATGACATCACCATGTGATATATTTAGAGGTACTGATGAAGTGTTATATTCCTTTCGCCCATTATTCCTTTGCATTGTGGCGTCAATAAAACATGCGTGTGATAAATGCATATTTTAAGTATATTGTATGCTTAACTTTGTTAATGTAACACACAGCTAAACCTAATGCATGTTAACTTGGAATATTGATTTTGCCATTTGTTTTTTACGTTGTCTTCAGATTAGCGAGTAGCAAATGATGGTGTCGCGGACGTCTTGACACGAGAATCTTCAGTAAATCACACATGGCTGACCCGAGGGACAGCGGAACTTCACCTTACCGAGCATCTGACAAGATAGCTGACCTGAAGGACAATGGAACTTCACCTGGTCGTGTATCTGACAAGATGGCTGATCTGAAGGACAATGGAACTTCACCTTACCGAGCATCTGACAAGATGGCTGACCTGAAGGACAACGGAACTTCACCTGGTCGTGCATCTGACAAGATGGCTGACCTGAAGGACAACGGAACTTCACCTGACCCTGTATCAGACAAGATGGCTGACCCCAAGGACAGTGAAACTGCACCAGACCGTCCTTCCTCCAATAAGTCCAGCAGCTCCAGACTGTCCCAAGATACGGAGGACCAACGAGACACATGTTCAGAACTGCCGTCACCCTCCTCCTCCCGTCTCTCCAACTACAGTGAAATGTCCACAGCGTCTTCCAGAACATTCTACCCCCCACCCGGCTACCCCAATCCAGCTATCAACATGTCACCCGGGTACCCACCAAACGGCTACCCTGATAGCGGTTACCCCATACGTAACCTGTACCCTTCTGCATATTTCCCAGCGACAGGACGATACCCTTCCGGAGACTTCCCCCGAAGTACCTACCCTAACAGCCCTCCCCCATCCAGCCCTTACCCCAAGCAGGAGTACCCAGAGACCCGCTACAAGCCCCTCAGTGACTACTCGGGGTCCGAAGCCACGTCGCTTGTGTTCAGCGAAGACTTAGACATGTCCCGGGCTTCATCAGAGATGTTATATCCAATGTCGACCTTCCCAGCTAGCGGGTCATATCCTAACTTGCGAGACACCAACTCTCAAGGCGAACTCCCTGATAGAGTAGACCCTTAAGAGACTAGACCCGTAGTAATGTGGACACCAAGTAGATTACGACTTCTTCAATATGGACAGTCAGAGGCCAATAGCCACGTTAATATGGACACTCAGTAATATGGTTCATGTTGTCATGTTGAAGAGAATACCTTCGACTACGATGACACTAAATCACAGGAAGAAAACATTGTGTATAGTGAACGCTTACACGTCATTAAGGACACTGTGTAATGTGCACACTCAGTAACATGGTTAGAGCCATAACGGACTAGACACGTTTAGAAACTACCTTCCGCAATAAAACTAATACCCCTTTTACATGCCAACGCTTACTAATGCGAAGGTTAATTTCTCATAAGAAATTCACTGAACATAACAAAACTGGTCATGTGAACGCATTGGCACATTTATGAAACATTTCCTCGTGAGAATATTTACATGAGCAAAAACGGTCTTACAGAAGTAATTCTGCTCATAAGTTATTTTTCTTACATACCATATATTTTGTGTGTTTTAACTAAGATACGTGACGGTTAACTTTCAAGGGAAATAATTCCCCTAACGTGATAAGCATTTTATACACTGTCACTTAGTATATTAACCGACAGTGTATTCTTGGCACATCTTATTGTGTTTTGAATGTCTTCAGCAACCCATGCTTGTCGTAAGAGGCTACTAACGGGATCGGGTGGTCAGGCTCGCTGACTTAGTTGACACGAGTCATCGTGCTGTTGTTCACTGGATTGTCTGGTCCAGACTCGATCATATACAGACCGCCGCCATATAGCTGGAATATTGCTGGGTGCGGCGTAAACCAACAAATACATAGGAACATATTGTCAGCAATGTAAGCATGAATATTCTCAGTAATGTTGCTAAGGTAAACCACAGGCAAATTGTAGTGCAAATAGGGTTGCGCAACAAAGAAAAAATGACCTGTCTTCCCATATGCGAGCGAAACGCATATGGAAAGACTGCTCATTTTCTCTTTGTTGCGCAACCTATTTGCGATACAATTTGCCTGTGGGTAAAGATGACAGATCTGAGAGAGAATATAGCTCCACTTGGCCCCGCATCCTGCTAGACGGCTAATCTGAGAGAGAACAAGAAGGAACAAGAAGGTTAACGCTCATTAAAACTGATACTGAACTAGAAGATGGATACTCTCACTTATCTGGGCACAAAACAAGGAAGGTAGGAAAGTTGACAGTAAACGTCAAGGCTACCGTGTCAAATCCGACCATATGTATTGATCATCTGGCACTATGTATAGTGATATCACGTTGTCGTATAAAGATATCACGTTATCGTATTTGTGTGTGGTACGTCTTTTTATCACCAGGACCGAAAATGCATATCAGCCATATGCGCCCTAGCTAGGGCCGATCTGTATCAGCCGTATTGCCCGGTTACTAAACTAGTATGGAATGAATACACGCAAACGCTTATATAGACGAAGCCTAGTATATTTTAGAGTTACGTCCCTTGCGTCGTCTGCTCGAGTTGCTGTCCAACAGGAAATGGTGGAAATATGAGGTTTTTCTCCTTATGGTGTTTTTGACTGTTTCAATATTTACTGATGTGGTATATGATAAAAAGGTTATGATATGACAATTTCCCTTCATATCAGCCCTCAACAACCATATGAGCCCTCGGGCTGATATGACGGGAGAAAGGAAAACTGTCATGTAACCTGTTAATATATTCGGCGATCGCTCAACAATATCACAAGGATAACAAACCCATCTCATGATTATTAGTTTGTTTAGTAGCTGAACCGTCTTTCTGATATGCCATATTAAACAAAATTAGGAGAACTGTCTAAAGAAAATGTGTAAAGGAATTTGACGCTAACTGTCGTCGCTCAAAGTAATTTATTTATTTTGTAAGGACAGAAGCAGGTGAAGTTCCAAATGCTGAAAAAGTCTTCTGGAAATGAAGTAAGAGAGATGCATATCGCAAATACATCAGTACAGAAATTAGAAGTTGGGGTGATGAACGAGGGGGATAGTTCTATGAATATACAATTTTCTTATTACAACATATGCGATGTCTCTTGCTTGAGGACGGTGATAGCATCTACACCGAAACGTCACATACACTGTGATGAAGATTAACTATCTGGCCTGTTCAATGCATCGCTTTATATATCGCCATCAAAGTAGCAAACCGTTAATCGTTTAATAAAAGTATGCCTTAAATACATGTCGACTCTGCCTCACTCGATTAAACAAATGCATGTCTTGAAAATAACCCGGGTTATGGTCAATATCTCTGATATTCCTTAAGGGGGGTGAGGTGAAGTGAAATGGGGGTTTAACGTCGTACTTAAGAATATTTCGCTCCTAATACGGACGTGCATGCGTGTGTGTGTGTGGCTGCGTGTACTAGCTCAGACTTAAGCTGGTTTTATAGTGCTAGCTCACTGAGATACCATGCCGCAGTGAAGCATGAATACTCCACTGAGACACATTATACTGACTCCGAGCCGATCAGTACGTGTTGTACCCATTAATGCCGAGCGCCAAGCAGAGAACAAGAAGTACAGTCATGGGACATAAGTATTCGTTAGTCGGCAAAATTCTCATAGGCTTGCATGTTATTTTAGTGTAGCTGTAATAATATTCATTACTTCAGTTTTCGTTATTTGGTTGTCAAATTATACAGGTTGTTAAAAATCAACTTGGTCACAGATACATAATTTCCATGTAATGTTCCTTCAAGTATTTTCCGCATTGTAGTTGCATGAGAACCACATATACAACATTGTGTATTCTTTCCCCATAGACCTCTATGTTAAAAATTGTCTTAACCATGACACGCATCAATCAAAGTGCAGTCATTCTTGAAATACTGAATGGAAAATAGAACGGAAATTATGTCTGTGCAGCTGAGATGATTTATGACACGTGTAAAATATGAACAAGATCAAACGACAAATAAATTCAAGATAATTTTTTCTAGGACCTATGGATAAAGTGATACTGAACGGAGAGCTGTTATCATACGGAATCAAAACAACACCATTCCAAGAGAATTATATATCTCGTCTCTCTTTTCCACTATTCTAAGTAATGCTGTAATGGAAATGATGAATATGTTCTGACTAGTCAAGATTACTTGATACATTGTGCGTGGTAATATGTACAATTATCTTACTATCCTTCTCTGACAGCTTGTTATTTCATCTATATAATGTTCTCGTCGTGTGACGTAAGTGCTTAATTCACTCATTCAAGCCAAATATTATCCTGACGTCCACATTTCTCAGTGTTTAGGGGCGGTGGGGTAGCCTAGTGGGTAAAGTGTTCGCTTGTCACGCCGAAGACCCGGGTTAGATTTCCCACATGGGTACACTATTTGAAGCACATTTCTGGTCCACCCTGCAGTAACATTGCTGGAATAGTGCTAAAAGCGGCGTAAAACCGTACTCACTCACTCGCTCACTCAGTTTTTAGTTGCATTGACGGTTACTCCATTCAATACTATCGAGATGAGCGGACCTATCTGAATGCAAACTGTACAGTGTACACCAAATAAATTGTGTTGACAGGAAGGCTACAGTAAAGTGCCCTCTGACCTAACTGATAAACATATTGACATAGGCCTACTTAATGCAGAATGTGTTACATATTTTCTCGGGAAATTGAGGTCGCTCATTCAGTGTCAAGTTTTATTAATGTCATTCAAACCCAACATTTATTGTATTTATTGTATCTGTCAACCAATTGTCAATAGTGACGGAATGTCCTATTCACACACAGCGAATGTATAGATGTAGCTACTTTCAAGGTGTGGATCTAAATCATGGCTGGAGAGTGCCAAAGTGAACAGACGGATGCGCGTGAAACATTTCATGATTTTACAAGCGCTTCTAAGACCACTTCGAACCCCTTCCTGCTTCTCGAGTTCCAATCGAATATATCACAGGCACTTCCGGGTGTCTACTTTCTCTTTCGGTTTGTTGTGCATCGACATGACGTGACTGAACATCGTTGTTAGACTGACACTGGAAAGGAAAAACTTCAACTGGTCAGTGATGAGTCAGCTAAGATACTGTATAAATTGCTATTAGTGTAACACAGTCAGTGTGAAACTGTAATTGTAGTTAGAGGTGACAGATTCCACTGAACCCGGCACAGGAAGGAACTGTTAGTGTCGCTGGGTCGTTGTCGGCACGGGTACTACAGATGTGTACCCCAGGTACGTTTCTGTATACAGAAATGTACCCTGGCCATAATCAGAATACAGAAATGTACCCTAGGACGATTCCATTCTGCATTGTGGAGTTTTCTTGATCGGAACTGTCATACTGTTGTATTAGATGCATTTAATTGCGTTATATAAGAGCATACACAGTATAACGAATATTTCACGGTGCACAACTTACACCACTCGCAATCAGCTGAACGGGAATAACTACAACGGTTTCGGTATTGGGTCGCGAAATATGGACTCGTCCGTCGTTTAGGGTACCCGGTACGTTTCTGTAGTTTGACTTTGTTTAGGGTACATGTCTGTATACAGAAACGTACCTGGGGTACATATCTGTACTACCTGTGCCGACAACAACCCCTTCAGCATTAGTGTCACTTGCACTGTTGACCACAAGCTTGATCCATTATGTCATTTTTCACTTTCTCTTGTCAAGGCTGTGGGGTCCCCCATAGCTCAATTTATACAACAAGTACTCACTATTGATCATTTTACACTGCGTGTGCGCCTTTGCCGAGGTGGACTCACTCGATCAGAGCACATGCAGTTGGTACTCCTGTATGTCTCTTGTCGACCGTGACACAAGCACAGGTAGAAGTTCACTAGAACTATCAGCTAAAATAGATGCCTAAATAATTATGTTTCACAGAACTGAGTGTGTTTACGTTGTTATGGTCGGCATTATGGGTACAACAAGGACTGGTCGGCTCGGAGTCAGTATAATGTGTCTGAGTGGGGTATTCATGCTTCACTGCGGCATGGTATCTCAGTGGGCTAGGACTATAAAACCAGCTAAAGTCTGGGCTAGTACAAGCAGCCGCACATACACATACACACGCATGCATGTCGTCATATGAGCGAAATATTCTCAAGCACGACGTTAATCCCCATATCACCTCACCCCACCTTTTCCACTATTCTAAGTCATGCTGTAATGGGAATGATGGACATGTTCTGACTAGTCTAGATTACTTGATACATTGTGCGTGGTAATATGTACAATTATCTTACTATCCTTCTCTGACAGCTTGTTATTTCATCTATATAATGTTTTTGTCGTGTGACATAAGTGCTTAATTCACTCATTCAAGCCAAATATTATCCTGACGTCCACATTTCTCAGTTTTCAGGGGCGATGGGGTAGCCTAGTGGGTAAAGTGTTCGCTTGTCACGCCGAAGACCCGGGTTAGATTTCCCACATGGGTACACTATTTGAAGCACATTTCTGGTGAACCCTGCAGTAACATTGCTGGAATAGTGCTAAAAGCGGCGTAAAACCGTACTCACTCACTCGCTCACTCAGCTTTTAGTTGCATTGACGGTTACTCCATTCAATACTATCGAGATGAGCGGACCTATCTGAATGCAAACTGTACAGTGTACACCAAATAAATTGTGTTGACAGGAAGGCTACAGTAAAGTGCCCTCTGACCTAACTGATAAACATATTGACATAGGCCTACTTAATGCAGAATGTGTTACATATTTTCTCGGGAAATTGAGGTCGCTCATTCAGTGTCAAGTTTGATTAATGCCATTCAAACCCAACATGTATTGTATTTATTGTATCTGTCAACCAATTGTCAATAGTGACGGAATGTCCTATTCACACACAGCGAATGTATAGATGTAGCTACTTTCAAGGTCTGGATCTAAATCATGGCTGGAGAGTGCCAAAGTGAACAGACGGATGCGCGTGAAACATTTCATGATTTTACAAGAGCTTCTAAGACCACTTCGAACCCCTTCCTGCTTCTCGAGTTCCAATCGAATATATCACAGGCACTTCCGGGTGTCTACTTTCTCTTTCGGTTTGTTGTGCATCGACATGACGTGACTGAACATCGTTGTTAGACTGACACTGGAAAGGAAAAACTTCAACTGGTCAGTGATGAGTCAGCTAAGATACTGTATAAATTGCTATTAGTGTAACACAGTCAGTGTGAAACTGTAATTGTAGTTAGAGGTGACAGATTCCACTGAACCCGGCACAGGAAGGAACTGTTGGTGTCGCTGGGTCGTTGTCGGCACGGGTACTACAGATGTGTACCCCAGGTACGCTTTCGTATACAGAAATGTACCCTGGCCATAATCAGAATACAGAAATGTACCCTAGGACGATTCCATTCTGCATTGTGGAGTTTTCTTGATCGGAACTGTCATACTGTTGTATTAGATGCATTTAATTGCGTTATATAAGAGCATACACAGTATAACGAATATTTCACGGTGCACAACGTACACCACTCGTAATCAGCTGAACGGGAATAACTACATAAGGTTTCGGTATTGGGTCGCGAGAATATGGACTCGTCCGTCGTTTAGGGTACCGGTACGTTTCTGTAGTTTGACTTTGTTTAGGGTACATGTCTGTATACAGAAACGTACCTGGGGTACATATCTGTAGTACCTGTGCCGACAACGACCCCTTCAGCGTTAGTGTCACTTGCACTGTTGACCACAAGCTTGATCCATTATGTCATTTTTCACTTTCTCTTGTCAAGGCTGTGGGGTCCCCCCATAGCTCAATTTATACAACAAGTACTCACTATTGATCATTTTACACTGCGTGTGCGCCTTTGCCGAGGTGGACTCACTCGATCAGAGCACATGCAGTTGGTACTCCTGTATGTCTCTTGTCGACCGTGACACAAGCACAGGTAGAAGTTCACTAGAACTATCAGCTAAAATAGATGCCTAAATAATTATGTTTCACAGAACTGAGTGTTTACATTGTTATGGTCTGTGATGAGGACATTCAGGAAGTATGCATGTAGTATATGCAAAGTCATGTCACTTTGGCATGGGATCACTAGGGGAGTTAGGAAATAAATATTCTATGTTATGAAGAAGTTTAGCTAAACTTGTAATTTTGTTTGTACATTGACAGTGTTAAGGGAATGTGTGTTTCAAATGTAAACTTGGGTGTAATTCTAATACATCAGCAGATAGTGAAGTGAAAATAAATGCAACAGTCCATGGACTAGTGATGTAGTATTTACCTTAGTAAAATATATTTGGATACGTTAGTCACGAGTGACCTCCCTTTCCATAGGCACGCTAGTTATATTAGAGTTACCTCCCTTTCGAATTTCACTCACGTCGGTTTCACGCCCACATGGCGTTTGTCACCCAGCGTTTGCTATTTTGTCTGTTGTTTGTTTACGATCACCAAGTAGTTTATGATTGCCGATGTGAAGCCAAAACGCAGGAATGCAGAACTTAAAATGATGGAATCTTTGGAGTTAATCAAACATTCGCCTTGTGATGAAGGGTTTGTTTTTAGTTCACTTCACGAACAGACCAAGCCGGCTAAATTGATGTCACCAGTTTTCGCTGAAAGTTCACGTGGTATGGATGAAAATACTCATTTGGAACTTGAGTGTGAAGCCCTTGAGGCTGAAATGAAACGTCTACCAAGCGGATGAAACTCGGAAAGGAGTGATAGCAATTTTGTTATCGTTGTTACTGAAACTTTAAGAAATTTAAGAATCTGTGAGCAGGAGTATTAATTTCAGCTGTGAAAAAACTTTCTCAAGAAATATCATTTTATGTGAGCAAGGGTGACTTAAATGTTTCCTTTGACATCATGATTTACAGTGTGTAAGAAAAACACTGTTTTGGCAGTGCTAAGCTTAACTTACTCACAACTTCACACTGACAACAGGAATGTGAAATGCCACAGACCGTGAGGTGAACAACATTACGCCCTCAGTGGTCCTTAATATGACTCTCCATAATACCATTTCCCAGGTTAAACACACATGCCAGGAATCCTGTATATAGTGTAGAACAACATCTAAGCATTTGTTACAGTCATTATATGAAACTTCATGTATAGACTCTGAGTATGGTTTAAAATTGTACACATTGTGATTGAGGGCTCATAGATGACATCAAAATTTGGTTAAGATGCTTTCTTAATGAAGAGAAACTTACAGTGCTTTCATCAGCATTGTCAATGGTGAGGTGAGGTGAAATTGGGTTTTATTGTCGTGCTTGAGAATATTTCGCTCATATGACGACGTGCAAGCGTGTGTATGTGTATGTGCAGCTGCTTGTACTAGCCCAGACTTAAGCTGGTTTTATAGTGCTAGCTCACTGAGATACTATACCGCAGTGAAGTATGAATACCCCACTCAGACACAGTATACTGACTCCAAGCCGACCAGTCCTTGTTGTACCCATTAATGCCGAGCGCCAGGCAGGGACCAACAAGTACCATATTTTAACGTCTTTTGGTATGACGTGGTCGGGGATCAAACCCGCAACCTTCCGCTATCCGGGCAGACGCTCTAACACTACACCACGGAGGCGGTCTCATTGTCAATGGACTCGTGAGACTAATAGATATTCATAAAAAATGAAACATCTAATTATATTTCAGAAAGTATGTTTCATATTGTTGTGTTTGTTAAATCAAGACATAAACAACTGTTTCCTGACTCATAAAACTGCAATATAAACATCATAATCTTGTGACTGTCTCAGCAGGAAGTATCCTTGATCGCCTTGTTTGTGGTTTTTATCATAATATTATGTTTGTGTCTCGTTATTGTCCACGTGTTTTTTGGGGTAAGGTAAACGATTACAATTGATTATTGATCGATTACTAAGCTATCTATCTGCTTACTGTGAACCAGCACATGTTAACATCATATGACCATACTTATCAGCTCTACAAAATATGTCAGGTTTTTTACACCACTTTTGTGTCACTGAAGAAACTACCGGTACATATTTTTTTATTGTCCTTTTTGTTATTAGATTTGCAATTTAATTGTTTCTTGAGGATAAGTTCCTTTGCTATGGTTAATGATAACATATAAGATTAATACAGGGTGTATAGTAGTCAATATCTATTATAATATTTAATATCCCATCTTTGACCTCTGAATATTTGAAATACACTGTTCAGTCGATTGCAATTTTCAAAAGTAGAATAACAATAAAAGAAATCAACTGCAGCTTAGCCTCTCTTGACTGTCTTGCCAGAACTTCCAATATCATTTGCTGATTGTGGAATGAGTACCAAGACTTGAAGTCCTGCATCAGATTGCTCCTGTCATTTGTCTCAAGATAACATAATCAATGTGAACAGCTTGTGTCAAATGTTAGATTCGGGATTACACTTTCTCAGGAGAGTACAAATTCCAATACTTTTTATATTACATGTTATACATTTGACCACTGTCAAAAGACATTGCATATTCATAACTTTCAATCATGTGAGCCAACCTAATATACTCTAGTCAGAAGGGTATGTGATCTAGACTACAGCTGCCTAACATCCATTTTTGTGGAAGTGGGTTGTGGGTTAGATTAGGGAACCTGACTCTGAGAGTGTGGGCTCGAATCCCAGATGGAACTCAAACCCCAGAAATACTAGAATCTGTACTTTACTGAGGAAGTACGGTCCCAAATATAACCTATGTTACATTTGTTAGCCAACTGCCACCAGGAGTTGGAGAACACAGTGCTCTGTTTGTTATCACAGATGTATCCCTAAGCACTGATCATCCTGATGTTTTTTCTTGATGTTTTTGTGGCATGATTTCCACACTTTCCCAAAGATCTTAGAAGAAAATATTGCATATATCAGATTATATTTATACAGTGTATAAAATAAGGCCCGCCCGACCGTCCAAGACGGTCAAGATTTCTTACGGACGGTCTAAATTTACAGCTAGCCAGCCCGAAGGTCTGCTAAAAATTTCAGATGTTCCACACATCTGTGTAAATTCTCCATACTTGGTCTGGCTAAATCCATGTCTGGCTGGATTTTTGGCATATTCATACACTGATTTATAACTGCTTTTGTCCTGTTATCCAAGTTCGTATTGATAGAACAGGAACATGGGCAGTTATTGCCACTGTTCACCCAGCAGAAAATGGGTACCTGGTGGGATAAGTCATGTGACTACTAACCTTCTTGCGCCTCTCAGGCAGCTTGGGTTATCTGGGGTAACAATAATCAGATTGTTTTGGGGCTTTGAGCATGCATTATGCATGAAGAAATGTGCATGATAAATGGTCTATTATGTTTATTATTATCATTATTTGTCACTCATTCTTATTTCAACTCTTGAAGTGTTCCAGAAGACAGTGGAAAGACATCTGAAGGAAAACAAAAGAACACAGCTGAGTGACCCATATGAAACTTACCTGACACTGGTAGACACGCTGTACTGGCAAGTATGGCCAACAAGAGTGAGGAGGGTAGCTTTTACAATGGTTACGGTGCCCAGAGTTCATCATCCCTCCCAGGTGCTTCAGGGACAGGTAGTGGTTCGCGGTCAGCTACTGGTCACAGTTCATCATCCCTCCCAGGTGCTTCAGGGACAGGTAGTGGTTCGCGATCAGCAACTGGTCACAGTTCATCCTTCCACGATCAACAACGATCAACCACAGCAGGACTACCTGTCTCCCGCAACACCTCCTGTAAGTCCAAGTCAAAGAAGGTTCCTGGCGCTGAAGGGGGACTGACATCTGTCTGCTGTGCATCGCTGGTGGTAAGAGTAAAGATTTATTGTTGCTGTGTGCGTCTGATGATACCATGCATAATAAACTTCAATCCCCAAACCAGAGTACCTCAGCCACCGACAGTTGCCATGTGACAATTCATCACGTTTTACACAATCCATTCATATTGTACATGTTTTTCATTTGTTTCATTTTTGGCGAGACAACACATCTAATTAAGCATCTGTTATATAATGGTTTACTTACATTGAATAGATATCCTAACACATGTAATATCCTTTCCATATTAGGGATAGAATTAGTGCCTTATCTGCCTGCCTTGGTACGGTAAATGTTAGGGGTGTCACGATACACCAATCTCACGATCCGATACGATACGTATCACGATTTTAAGGTCACGATACGATACGTATCGCGATACATAATTATCGCGCCTTTTCATAGCATTACCTTACCGGCAACGTACGCGCTCGCTGATTGGTCCATCAAAATAGTCTAGCCAATCACAAAAGCTGTTAGTTTCCAACCTATTTTTTTAAGTAAAGCCAGCTACATCTATTTATCGGAGCAGTCTGGTATAATTTTACTTTCAAGACTTTGACGGAGATGGATATAGCATAAAAATTTGAATCGATCAAGTTTTAAAATAGGAATCGATACACGCAAGCATGTATCGTGTATCGTATCGTCAGTAAAAATGTATCGATGCATCGATACATTCGCGTATCGCGACACCCTTAGTAAATGTTGAAATGGAAAGGATGTTCAATGTGCCCTGGTGGCAGGGAATAAAATTATAAAAATAATACTTATCACAGAGCTCCAGATAAGATTTAGCTCATGTGGGTACTGTACCCACTGTATTTTTTTGGAGTGGGTATTATGAATGTTGAGTGGGTATTTCATTTAAATTGTTTTAAACTTTTTGCGTATCTAACATTTTAAATGCGTAATTAGTACGCAACAATTATTTTTCAATGCGTAATTGGACGTTTTCTATGCGTATTTTACCCGGATACTCAGCTTATCTGGGCCTCTGATTATCATGATTCATTTAATTGAAATGCAATAAATTTGACCAACTCAAATATTTCAAAACCGATTTTTTTCCTCCATCAAACTGTTTATCGGCGTCACCTACAGATTCATACCTGAACATCGCCGTGGCAACTTGGAACAATGAATGCCAGTATGCATAACAGGAAATCCTGTTTTGGAAGACAACATAGATTGAACATAGTTTTAACATAATTTCCTACCTATGCATTTATTCACATCTGAATTCTGAACTGGTTTCAAAAAGTGTACCTTCATTTGGGCTGAATCCAGGGTTTAGTAACCACAGTGGTTGACTGTGCCTTACTGGTTTTCACAAACATCATATCAAGTTGGATGACCTGATGCTCCTAGAACAAGCTCATTTTCACCAAAGTGTCAGGAATGACCTTTTGTCAGGATGACCACATGGATTTTGGATACTTTCATGAAAAACACCACAAAGTACTAAACCCACAGAGATGTCTTTAGATCCATGCTGGCACCAAATGTCAGTTAAAATTTCCAAAGTTGAATTACATTTTTTCCCAATTCATGTTTTATAATAGTAACTAGTTCAGACTTTTGCTGTGATTTGTTTATCATTGACCAGTTTGAGTAAAATAACACTTAATTTTTCCTTATCCTGACTCATGATCTTTGCTTATCTCCCTTTCCCTTTCGAATGGTAGTTGAACACTTGAATCCCTTGAAGTTCCCGAAGCGGACGTACAATACTCACCCACGAGTTACCTCCCTTCCTCTTTCCCCGCGAAAACGCATTCATGTGACGTGCCAAGACTTGTCACTCTCTCTCCTTTTCGCCCAAGCGGATGGTTGGGCGAGCACTGGAGTCCCGTATACGGCAATTTTATCGTTTCTATTTAGGCCTATTCTTCTAAATTAAGCTGTGTATGGTTTTGGCTATAATTATTATGTAGTATTTGTACAAATTTGTTTGAATTTATTGACTTTGAGTCGTGTTTTCATCGTGTTGTAAACTTGTTTACAATTCATGAAATCCTGCTGTGTGTGTAGGCACAGGTTGTCCGTGGCTGATCCTCACCCCCAATGTACTTCGTGTACAGATCCATGTTCATCCACCTTGCGTTGTATATATTGTATTGATTTAACCGACCTACAATTTAATCAATATTTGTCTCATGTTTATAGACGTGTCATGGATCAGGTGAAAAAGACATCTCTAGTCACATGTGATAAATCAGTAGATCAGCCTAAAAAACGTATGTTACTTGCTACTAATGTTCATAATAGTGATGTGTTGCCTAGTACGTTACAGGGCCAGTCTGCGTCAAAGGGGTCTAAGAAAAGGTCGTCTACCTCGCAGCCTTCGCCGTCCCAGTCTAAGAAGAAGACGGTGTCCTCTTCTACTACGCAGAAAAAGTCTACGAGTACTAGATCTGAGGGCAAAACTACATATGCTACCGCTGCTACGCACCAGAGATCCTTCAACGATGAGATCGTCCTGCCTAACGAGAAAGACGTTTTTGACGACCCCCCTATACTTCTACCCGAGGTATCGATGACATCAACGACACAGTCGACCTCAACTACTACGAGATCGTCCCCTATGAATGTCACAACAGGCCAGCTGTCGGACATAAGACCTTTTACTTCGAGACAGAAGTTGAGGCACAGAAAACAGCATCGCAGCAGCATCAACAAATGCAGAATTTCGACCCTGGGGAATTCATGACGCAGTTCACCAACAAGATGATGGCTATGATGGAGCAGAGATTCCAGCAAGAATCGAGGAAGACCCTCCAGTCTACTGACACCGTTCGCAAACCCCCAGGCCTGCGCGAATCTACACCCATCAGAGCTACACCTGCAGTTGACGTTGGCGAACGTACACCTCCGCGAAGGGCTCCACAACCGGACGACTCCGTCATACTACAAGATAGTCAAGCTGATACGCTGTCCCCGTTCACGAACCCTCAAGGTTCGCGAACCTCCAAGAAGCCTGCCTCTACATCTAGCCGCTCTAGGTCAAGATCACCTCAACGCAGACGTTCGCGAAGGCACAGCTCACCCCACGGAGGTTCGCGAAGAGGAGATTCCAGAGAGAGACGTACGCGAAGAGAACGCTCCCACGATAGACGTTCGCACAGGGAGGAATCTTCAGCTGCAGGCTAGCAAACCCAGGATGAAGGTTCACGAAGGGATACAGGCTCGCACAGAGATATGTCAACAAGACACAGCTCGTTGACTCAGGACACTACGGACCCTGTCTTCTCAGACTCAGAAGTAACGGCTTGGATTGCTAGCGGGTTGAGCCTCGAGTCTCCCTCTAAAGATAGGAACGAAATTTACGCCTATATCCAACGTACCGGCCAACCTTCGCACAGCCTTCGTGAAGGCTTCCAAGTACCAGACGCAGCAGCTGCCATCTTTTAATAAGAAGAGATACCCTACATCACATGGAACCATTTGTGAAGGCGCTGGAGTGGGATGACAACATAAACGACGTCTGGAGTAAGGTGTATAAGGTGGATGATAAGAAGCTATCACAACTGGATACAGCTTCTAGAAGATCCTTCTTCGGACTGGCAAGATCTAGAGCCATCAATGAAGCGTTGATAAAGAAATTCCAAGATTCCACGACGGAAAAGGATAAGATGATCTACTCAGCCCTCGTCACGCAAAAGAAGGATCAGTTTTTCCTGTCGGACCACCTCACGTCGATCTCGTCGGGAATCACCTTATTACGCAGACAGGGTCTACTGGCATCCTGCTCCTGGAATGACAGATTTACGCAGCCACTACTACGAGCTCCGTGGGAGGCGCCTACCATCTTTGGAGGTCTCTTGGATGATGCAGCTAAACAAGCCACACAAGACCTCAGAGAGGTGATGATGATTAAAACCATAGATACCTTGGCCAACGTCATCCGCCATACATCCCAGAGATATAACAACAAGTCCAAGTACGCCGGGATACAGAGAGCTAAAGACAAGAAGTACTCCAACTCCAGAGGTGGGAAGGACTCTTTTTGTTGTCCTTCGGGCAACTACAGAGGAAACTCAGGAAGAGGCCGCGGCCCCAGAGCTTCCAGAGGTACCAGACGCTGATGCCAGAGTTCGGAACGACTGGAGTCTTCCACCCCCAGCCGTTCCTGTAAAACTATCGACAGTGGGTGGACGTCTACAAGGGTACTGGAAGAATTGGGGAATTCTAGAAGACGACTACACCTCTCGGGTACTAACAGAAGGATACAAAGTACAACTGAAAGCTACTCCTCCGCTAACCCTCAGCCCGATGGTCTTCAAGTATGCAGAGGAACAGGCCGTCAAATTACAAGAAGCCATCAACACACTACTCATGAAAGATGGGGTAGAGATAATAGACCAGAATCATCTCACCCCAGCCTTCTATTCCCCAATTTTTCTAGTACCAAAGAAGAACTCCTTGGAGAAGTTCAGACTGATTTACAACATGCGCAAATTCAACAGAGACTACTTACTGAAACCAGAGAGGTTCAGCATGATCCACCTACCTCAACTGAAACAACTCGTCCGTCCAGCAGATTTCATGACCAGCATAGACTTGCAGGATGCGTACCTGCACATCCCGATACATCAAGAATCAAGGAAGTATCTACGATTCCTGTTCAGAGGGCAGCACTACCAATGGAACGTCCTACCATTTGGAATATCTTTGGCCCCGTGGCTATTCACACGAATAGCCAAGCCCATAGTCGCATACCTTCATCATCGAGGTCTTCTACTTGGAAGACGCAATTCAGGTCCTCCAAGTTGCCAGTCTACTCAGACTACAACTGAACTTCACGATCAAGTTGCTCACTCAACTAGGATGGTTGGTGAACCGAAGGAAGTCAGAATTGGAACCAAAACAAGATCTACAATTCCTAGGGATAAGATTCATCACTGCAGAGAATCGAATCGTCATCCCAGAGGATCGATGGGTCAAGATACAAGCCATGATTCCGCCAGCAGTCACCTCTCCGCTAACACTACAATCATGGCAAGTTCTACTCGGTCTACTAACCTCGGCGCAAGACCTGACGCACATAGGAAGGATACAGCTAAGACCTCTACAACGGTTCCTGATAAAGCATCTAGACAGCGTCGACCCTATCTTGCTGCCAGAAAACCTCAAGAGGAATCTACTATGGTGGACACACAGGTCGAATGTCGGCCTTCGACACACACCTCTACGCAGATGCCTCGATGCAAGGATGGGGCCTCGGGAAAGTGGTCTCAAACAGAACAAAAGCTCCACATCAATCTACTAGAGATGAAAGACGTGATCAACGCCTTACAACTATGGTCGAGTTTGCTGAACAACAAGATGTTGATGATCCACACAGACAACTCAACAGTGGCGTTCTCCATAAATCAGCAAGGACCAACAAGATCGCCAAGCCTATTGCAGCTCACATTCCAGTTGTTCCAGATCACGAAGGAAGCAGACATCTGGATAAAGGCGTACCACATACCCGGAGCCAAGAACGTACTGGCAGACGCTCTCTCAAGTTCACTACACCCGTCACCTACGGAATGGATGCTCCATCCAGAAGCGTTTCGGAGCATAAGGGAAATAGGATCCCCTACCATAGACCTGTTTGCCACGAGGTTCAACAAACAACTGCAGACGTTCGTCTCACCAGTTCCAGATCCTCAAGCCTGGGCAACAGATGCACTGAGCATGTTGTGGGAAGGACTAAACGGCTACTACTGCCAAAAGTATTGGTCAAGATCAGACTCAGACGCTACAACTGACTTTGGTCGTGCCCTACTGGCCAGCGAGAGCATGGTTCCCAGATCTACTAGAAAACCTAGGAAACCCAGTAATCAAGCTACCAAATTGGCCGAACCTTCTGATACATTTGCACACCAAGCAAGTCCACGGAAACCCAACAGTGTTCCAGTTACACATGTTGACCGTATCAAAATGTGTTTGAAGAAAAGAGGATACTCTGCCAGAGCAGCCAAAGCAGTAACACTAGCGTTACGCAGATCGACTCGCAACCTATACGACGACAAATGGCTGAAGCTTGAAACTTATGCAAGGCGGAAAGGCTTCACAGCGATGAATGCTACGCATCCTCAAGTGGCAGAATATCTATGTCATCTGAGACAGACCAGACATCTGAAGGTTCGACTCTATCTACTTACCTCACTGCCATCAGTACAGTAATTACCATGAAAACGGCATCAAGTTGACGAAAGTACCAGAATTACTTGCTCTACTGAGATCATTCAAGTTGGAAGACCGACAAAGAAATTCAGAGCTCCAGCATGGGACCTGAATGTAATTCTACGTCATCTTACCAGTGATGTCTACGAGCCACTAGACCAGATCACGATCGAGCTGCTAACACAGAAGACGGTGTTCCTGCTAGCATTAGCCACGGCAGCTCGCATATCGGAGATACATGCGCTGGACTACGGTCGAACTACGTTTGACAGAGGGCAAAATAATGCAGTTCATCTAGGACTTAGATGGGTCTTTATTGCCAAGAATCAACTACCTGGTCAACCAGATAGACAATTCCACTTACCAGCGCTGTCTACAGTCCTCGGCCCACAAGGTATAGAGGACTTATCCTTGTGCCCAGTCAGAGCCTTGAAGATATATCTTCAAAAGACTAAAACGAGGAAAGAGGACATTCAAGAGCCTATTCATCCCATTATCAACGGAAACATCAACTGAAGTCTCAAGAACAACCATATCGTTCTGGATGAGAGCCGTTATATTGATAGCCTACAAAGCAGCAGGACTAGAACCTCCTAGAGCTTCCAACCCACACGAAGTTAGAGCACTGGCGTCAACACTAGCTCTACACGGAAATTGCTCTATACCGAGAATAATGGAGGGCTGCTTTTGGAAGTCGGATACGGTGTTTGCCAACCACTACCTCCGAGACATAGCCACTGAAGATGTCTCAGGCATTCACCAATTTGGGCCTCTCGTTGTAGCACAGCAACTAACGGTTCCTCGAAGGCGCTGAGTTGAAATCTCACCCTTTTTACACTGACTTGTAGATGACTTTTACTAGGAAAAGTATTAGTTTGAAAGTCCATGTGCACAGTCTAGGATAGACTAGCATGAGTGATTAAGATCCTCTGCGGGTAACGACCTTACCTGGACATAAAGGGATCGCAACTCATTTATGATAAAGACCTTATCATAATCTATGGGTTGTTATAAGATATCTAGTACAGGAGAATACTAGTTTATCTATAACCACACGAATCAACATGATTCAACTTGTCTGAGATTGAAGTAAGCCAAGGAGTGGTCCCCCGAGTTACTACGCCGCAAGTTGGAAGAATAGGACCAAGGAAATGCCGTTTGCAGTTCCCATGGGGGGGATACAGGACGTATCTAAGGACAGCTGTTGAATCCAGTGGCTTGACCCACCACCTATTCCGGCGGATTCTATAAGCAAAGATCATGAGTTAGGATAAGGCAAAATATGTAATGTTTTAAGTAAAATTGATACTTTATACTTATCCTGACTCATGACAAACAAGCCCTCCCATCCTCCCCGTTGAAGACACTTGTGATTTCACAGCAGATCCAAGTGCATGAGCGAAAATATAAGGAGAGAGTGACAAGTCTGGGCACGTCACATGCTACGTTTGAGCGGGAAAGAGGAAGGGAGGTAACTCGTGGGTGAGTATTGTACGTCCGCTTCAGGAACTTCAAGGGATTCAAGTGTTCCACTACCATTCAAAAGGGAAAGGGAGATAAGCAAAGATCTTGAGTCAGGATAAGTATAAAATATCAATTTTACTTAAAAAATTACACTTTGGAACAAATTTCCTGTCAAGGGTACTTAGTTTGGAATCTTAGATAAATCCCAGTCTCAATATGTGTCATGCCTCAATTATCATCGTAATGTAACACTGTGCATCATGTCGCCCTAACAGATAGGTTCTTCATTTCAGGGACAGCATGATGTCAGGAAGAGCAGAGCAGATCCTGTTCCTCAAGGCTACAGTGGAGCATCTGCATATGGAGAACGGCAGTATGATACCCACCTTGGTATCAGTGTCCGCATATATTCCGGCGATATATCTAAATCTGAAGTAGATGCCATCACAACTAGCGAGGGTTGGGAAGTTAGGCAAAAGAGCCAGGTGACAAAATCTATTTCTAACCTTCTTGGAACACGCTTTGAAGAAAGAAGACAAAATTTGTTCACTTCACATGGAGGAGAATTACAGAAAGGGAAGGTGTATGACACACAAACGATGAGTAAAGATCATGTTAAATACCAATATGTGCTGCATGCAGTCTTTGATTCCACAACTTTGGGCGATATGAGCAAGCTGTATTACGAAGTGTTTAAAAAATCAGATGAGCTCAACCTGACCACAGTGGCTGTTCCATTACTGGGTACAGGTGAGATATATCTTACTGCCTTTTGGGTAATCTTTCAAGGAATTAGTTAAGTCTCTTATTTTAATACATATTGGAATTCTATAGAGAAGCAATTGGAAACAAACTACTTACCTACAAACTATTTCATGTTAATCCTTATGTAGAATACCCTCTATATCCCGAAGAATAGCTTGTTGAGTATCTTATGAAGGTAAAGACTAATGGGATCGGGTGGTCAGGCTCTCTGACGTGGTTGACCACATGTCATTGTATCCAAGTTCCAGATGTAGATCAATGTTCCAGATAGCAGTCTGTGTATTGTCTAGTTTAGTCTCAACTGAGAACGAGCCCAGAAATGTCATCAGAAACAAATATAGAAGCTGTTATCCATAACATTTGTCTTGTATCACTACACCAACTTCTAAATGCCTTTGAAGAATTTTAGCTGAGTGTGGAATTAAACAAGACTCACTTGTTGATAGGAAGGAAAAGGCTTTGATGCTTAGTTTTTCACCATTGAATTAAGTACTATTTTTTTGTGTCAAATGTCTCTGAATTTGTGAAATAGTGGCTTTAGTAAACCCTCTGCTGCACAGTGCTTTGGCTTCCCTACCTTAACCAAGCAGACAGTACTGGAACGGAGAGACAAAGAAGTGCCCTGGTACTTAGGCCCCTGCAACCTCATTGTTATAGAAAGATGAAGGATTCTCCACCTCTGTTGCCACTTCGCCTGTATGTGCAGCGCAGCCTCCCCCTCCGACCACATCAGCAGCTGCGTCAACACTACGATTTACCCTTTGCGTCTGCTCCACAGTGTCTGTAAAGCTGGTCCTGGATCATCTACAGCATCATCTGGATAACTTGGCGTTGCCTCCACCTAGCTCCAGCCTCGCCATCTCACATCATTTGCTGGATGACCACTCCCATGGTTCCTCTGATAGGTCACTGCCACCAGATGAGCGCCTGCCTGCTCATGATCGCCAGCGATTCACGTCTGCACTTCACGCCTTGCCCTCCTCCTGTGAACAAGGCACCATCACCTGATGGTTGATAGTCTGTCACATTCTTCTGTTCTTCATTAGATAACCCAATAGTGTACGTTATCCTTATGCGCCAGCTCTGTACTAGGATCACTTCTCTGCTTCTCCCTATCTCTGGTTGTCACGCTCAAATCTAAATAGCCAGCCCCTACACAGTGCAAGGTCCATTTACCTGATTGTCGTCACACCCTCTTCATCTGAGAATATGGCGCATAGTCCCAGGTGCTTCATACCTGAGAAGGCACCACCTTACATCACAGATCAGTATTTCAATAGGGTATCTCGTGTCCATCATCGCCAGCCTGCAGGGTTGCCAGGTCCAGTGCTCCAGGCGGATCATTCTCCAACTGATGATGAAAAAGAGTTTATTCCAGATTAGGACGAATTACCCAAATCATGACAAATGGACGCTGCTGTATACCTTGTCTGCCATAGCTTCCGCATAATCAGCCATTCAAAACTGTTTAGACAAATTCCCTATGGCGGTAAATCAGCACCTCTTATTGGTGTAGATGGGCAACTGCAGTGACTTATTGTCTTGGGTCCATAACCATCATGGGGCAGTCATCTTGGGATTCCTGGATCAAGACTCAAATGATGCGCTAACCTTGGTCAGGTTCAGCACCTTTCAATCATGAGCTTCCGCATATAGCCACGGAGGCTAAGGCATGGGATATGAATCAACAGTTTCGCTGACAAGACACCCAGCCGAGGAAGCTTCTTGGTCGGGAAGTGTCGACAGAAGTGACTTTCTTCAGACAGCGGACAAGTGACACCTCCCTCTGCAAGTTGTTTCAGTTCATCAATCACCTGTAAGAAGGAGATTCCAACTTTTGGGGCAGAATTGACAGCTATGCATCGACCTGTTTCGGACAAACAATCCGGTACTGTCTGTTAGTTTAAGGAAAGGGAGCTAAAGCACTGTGTAGCATCAGGTAAGTATATAAACACTGCATTTATCTCGAAATGCTCATTTTTGACAAAACAGTGGTTTTGTCCCAATTTGCATGTAACAGACATTTGATTTCTAGTCCTTTTCAGTCATATCTGTCTAGTAAGTGTTTCCTGATTATGTTCATAGTGCTGATGTCCTGATTTATGTTTTCAGGCAGAGGTCACATCAAGGTGGAAAATGCTGTCGGAGACTTAGCACATGGTTTACTCTGCTATGCAAGACAAAGGCCTAAAAGTTATACAAAGCATCTTACGATAGAGATTGTAACACCAGATGTGAAATGTATTGACTTCATCTATAATGAAATTGAAAAGAGTTTTAACAGGTAACCAATGATTTTGCAGATTTGATGAAATTTCGGGTCATCACATGTCATCATATCCCAATTGCATTCATCCATGCTCATGATGTTGATCACTGGATTGTCTGGTCCAGACTCAATTATTTACAGATTGCTGCCATATAGCTGAAATATTGCTGAGTGCAGCATTAAACAACCAACCAACCAACCAATGCTTTGTAGAATTTGGCCTCGGTACTTGAATCCTATGTGAGGTTCTTGTAAGCAAGCATTTCCCCAATCTACAAGGGAAATGTGCAATGAATGGCAGTGAAAGGACTATTTTTGGTTTTACAAGTACAAACAAGCACATTTCTGGTATTTATCTGTCAGCTGTCATACTAGTCTGTCATACTGACGATGAAACAAACATATCAAAGAAAGCCCTTTGAAGACTAGAATATGTGGCAAGTCAAGATACCACAGTTTCAGGACTCCTTTTCATTATATTTTATAATTATATGTTAGGGGGAAAAAATATGTTCATTCTGGAGACGAGATGTTAGTATACTCTGGTACCTTATGGCTGTATATTTGTCTGAACTTTGGGCCTAATTTATCATTTTTATTTTCAAACAGCCCAACAGAGTCTGCATCAACAGTTCAAAGTGGTACATCAATGTCCAAAACAACATCCAAGAAACAACCACAATCTTCAGCTCAAGACACCTCAGACTTTGGAAACAACACTCTCGGAGCTGATGCTCACCATCACTCTGATCGAAGCAATGCACACAAAACTGGCCCACAACTGAGATCACATCGAGCCACGACAATAAGGAATGGAGTTATGGTGGCTGCCTCAGAATCTGAGAAAGCCAGTGCTGGTGCCTTCCATGCTCCTTATGATGAGTCAGAAATGACCAGTTTGGAAGCTGGAACTGAAAGTCTGTCCCTTCGTGGTGATGTTTCATTCGGACAGTCCCTTGGACATCATAGTGCTACTGATGCTGGTAACGCTCCTCCTCGGGGAGGGAGAGCGCAATGCAATCAGTTTGATCAACATTCCAGCTCAGCTGAAGTTGAAGATGATTTGAATGAGAGAAACAGATTAAGTCCTGAAAAGCAGCCTGAGCCTGATGGTACCGATATTGGCAGTTCAGAAGAGGAAATCTGCCCCATTTGCATGGATGTGATCCAAAATTTAAAAGTATTGCACAAATGTGGTCATAAATTTTGCAAAGAATGCATTGAAGACAGCTTCAGAAGATATAAGCCTGTCTGTCCATCATGTCTGACTGTGTACGACGTCATCACTGGCAACATGCCACATGGAAGAATGTCTGTGCACAGGGCCCCCCTACCCCAGTCTCCCAGGATATGAGGGAAGTGGCATCATCACTATAGAGTACCATTTCCCAAATGGAACTCAGACAGTAAGTACATCATTGTGGCTGAGACTAATTCTATATCTTCGTCCTAGTCCTTCGACTCTCATGGGGGCGGTGGGGTAGCCTAGTGGTTAAAGCGTTCGCTCGTCACGCCGAAGACCCGGGTTCGATTCCCCACATGGGCACAATGTGTTAAGCCCATTTCTGGTGTCCCCCGCCGTGATATTGCTGGAATATTGCTAAAAGCGGCGTAAAACCAAACTCAGTCAGTCGACTCTCATGCTTCTATCTACGCATTCCAAGTACAGAAATTAAACCTGTTAAAGTGGCAGCGCTCATGTGTGAACTATCAGGTCTTAGATTGTAGCTTGTGGTGCTTGTTCTTTTCACCCTTGGCAACATAGTGAATCCTTAACTCCGGAAATAGGAAGCACAATGCCAACATTTTAACCATTTAAAGCAGTGTCATACATTTGATTCCAAATGTATTTTTAATGTATGTATTGGCTAACCAAAACTAATGTGAGCTGCACATTTTCATCGTCACAATTATATCTGTTTGTATGTGCAGTAAATTAGAAGGTAAAGTTGAATATGAAACAGAACACACTTTGTGACGTTTCAAATCATAATTCAAATTAAATAGGGGTGGTGTTGTAGCCTAGTGGTTAAAGTGTTCATTTGTGACGCCGAAGACCCAAGTTCGAATCCCCATATGGGTGTAACGTTGAAGCCCATTTCTGGCTTGATATTGCTGGAATAAGACTAAATTTAAACTCACTAACTCACTCACTCACTAATCAAATAAATTGAATATATGTATTACAAAGTTTTAAAATGACAACAACGTAGCACAAGTCTCTCTCTCTCTCTGTCTATCTCTCTCTCACCCGCCTGCTTTGCCGATCGCGACGCTACCATCACCTGCAATCGATTAAACCTTAATATAAACATAATCATGGATGATTGGCCCACTCATGACACCTACCAATTCTTCATTGTTATTTCTGCAAGTCGATTGATTTTGACTCTTAATTAAACAATCTTGATACAAATGGATGTTGATATTTCCCCACAAATCTATATTCTCTTCCTCAGTCAGTGGCATGAACGTAAACAATGAGTTCCTGGAGTGTAACTGAGGTACATGATAACTCAATGATTAAATCAATCATAAAAACATCATCAATTATTTCTTCAGAAAGATCATCCACACCCTGGCCGGGGCTACCATGGAACGTCACGTGTTGCTTTCTTGCCACAAAACAGTGAAGGGGAGAAGGTGTACAGACTTCTGAAACTGGCGTTTGATCGGAAACTGACTTTCACAGTTGGCAGGTCAGCAACCACTGGCCGTGACGATGTTGTCACCTGGAACGACATCCACCACAAGACCAGTATGGATGGTGGTCCCACAAGGTGAGCTGAATCTGAAATGTTCATCAGTCTGACACCGACCGATCTGAGGCTGATGTATTACTTTTCCAGTTGAGGTGAAATTGTTTTAAATTTTCATTCAAAACTGTCGAACTCATATGTATGTGTACGTGTGTTTGTGGATGCTTGTTCTGCTCTCGACCTATACCATTTTATAGCACCTGCAGGGCTGTGGGGTAGCCTAAGTGGTTAAAGCATTCGCTTGTAAGGCAGTTACGTTTTCCCACATGGGTACAATGTATAAAGCCTTTTGTCTTGACCATTGCTAAAAGTGGATTTAAAAAACTCACTCACTCACTCACTCACTCACTCACTCACTCACTCACTCACTCACTCACTCACTCCTCACTCACTCATCACTGCTCACTCACTCTGACCCTTGCTCACTCACTCACTCACTCACTCACTCACTCACTCACTCACTCACTCACTCACTCACTCACTCACTCACTCACTCACTCACTCACTCACTCACTCACTCACTCACTCACTCACTCACTCACTCACTCACTCACTCACTCACTCACTCACTCACTCACTCACTCACTCACTCACTCACTCACTCACTGGATATCCCTAAACACTCCCATCTGACAATTCTTTGTGTTTTCCCTGAACACCAGGCAGGGTAACATAAGTACGGTTTAATGTTGGTCAAACATGACCTGGGGATGGAACCACCAGCCTTCCACTCTCTGGAAAGACACTCAACGGAGATGGTTGCTTATCTAGACCTGAACATTATCCACATTGTCATTGCATGAATTGTTTCTCAGACTCCTGATCAGAGTTCAATATGGCCACAGCAGCTCTGAAACCACTTTTAGACCATAACTGTTGCATTCCCAATGTAGTAGGTCCAAACATTCAATATTTCTTAACCTTCATTCTGCCAGTATGCTAGCTATACTATGGTAAATTATTCATTATTACATATCTTTTGAAGCTATATAATATCTTTATATGGTCTGTTGTGATAGATTCGGCTACCCGGATGCGACATACTTGTCCAGGGTTCAGGAGGAGCTGGCCAGTAAAGGCGTCACTGAGGATCAGCTGTAGAGCAAACCCTAATATCACTGGGAGCTGGCCAGTAAAGGCGTCACTGAGGATCAGCTGTAGAACAAACCTGATATCACTGGGAGCTGGCCAGTAAAGGCGTCACTGAGGATCAGCTGTAGAGCAAACCCTGATATCACTGGGAGCTGGCCAGTAAAGGCGTCACTGAGGATCAGCTGTAGAACAAACCCTGATATCACTGGGAGCTGGCCAGTAAAGGCGTCACTGAGGATCAGCTGTAGAACAAACCCTGATATCACTGGGAAGATAGAGCACAGTTGGCCTGCTCATCACGCCCACTGTGCGGAGTTATATCCCTTTCCTGAGTCAGAAACCCATTACTGTGGGATGTGAATCCTGGCACACCTTGATTATAGGGTTCCTGTCTGTGACAATGGAGACAATACTCATTCAGGGCTCGATTTAGTGCTTTGTTACTTGCACTGGTGCAACCCAATGTTACAAAGTGCAACCTAGTCATGAGCCTAAGTCAATTTTGGAGAAATAGATCAACAATAAATCTAACATTATACACATAAATATGTCCTCTCATTTTTCTTCTAAACTTTGAATAACTATGGCACTGAAACATTGCTATTCATAGACATGTCTCGGCTATGACACCTCTTGTAAACTGGGATCAGCTGTGTGTCTCTGTGTTACTATGGTTTCACGGGAAACATCACGGAAATATGTTTATGTGCACCGAAACCTCTGACATTTTAACACACTACGTTGCAGCTGGAATTTGGCTGGTGTAACTAGGTCTTTATCTTAGGTTGCACCTGCTGCAAGTAGGTTAACATCTCTTAAATCGAGCCCTGTCATTACTACAATTTCTCATAAACGTGCTACAAATATTTGTTCACAATTGGGTACATATTCACCAGATCATACAGATTTTTCCAGATATCTCTACAGGATTTAAAGTAGGTACTCATTACAGAAAACAGAATATATTTGTTTGTATGAACCCGAAGTGAGAAATGTTGACCTGTATGAGATCATGTGAACAATGAACGAAATGTTCAGAATTGTCAAACAATTTATGATACAGGGAGACTTTGTTAGTTTGTGTAACATTCAGCAGGCTCGGTACCTTGTCTCATCTTCATGTCTGATTGTGTCACAGATCACCTGGTGTCTTTGCGTCCTGAGTGTGACCTGTTGACATCATTCTGTGTACATGGAGTCAAACCTGTATCTATGCTAGTACTCATACATATAAAACTATGTATGAATACTTGGTGCCATTTAGACAGTGGTCAAATGTAACACATGTTTTGTTAGGTTGAGTCACATCCATTAGGGCTGGGACGGGTATCACAGGTACTCGAATCCGGGTCGGGTACAGCTGGAATCGAGTCCTATTTCTAGGAATCGAGTACCCGGAAAGGGAGAGAACTCTGTAATGACAAGGGCAGATAATAAGTTGCCTTTTTCATTATTGACGTAACACATTTACATCATTGGTATTGTCCGATTAATGGAGGTTATTATTAACGACTGTAATTTATCTGTGCATGAGCAGTGGGTAGTCAAGTTAAGTAACAGTAGGAACGAAAAGTTTATTTTAACGAGCAATGTAAGTAATGGTGTTACTCTTTATGTTGGTTAAACAGACGTAAATTATATAGCTTGAGATCATTTTTAATGTCTTATTGCCACCCTTATAAGTTTTCTATAATAATCTCTGTCAAATCGTGATTGAATATTCAGAAAGTTGACTGAAGCACTGTATTCCTTACATTTCTGGGTACTCGATTCCGATTCGGGTAAGTACATGTGGGTACTCGATTCCATTTTTTCCTACCCGTCCCAGCCCTAACATCCATCACACAAAATCAATTACATGCATGACTCTGATAGTGTGGGATAGGATACTAGCAAAAGTATCGGTACTTTACTGAGAAAGTGTATTCCCAGATATAATATATTTTAAAACTCATATACTTGTTCACCTGCGATCCTATACACATTTCATAATGTTTCCAACCCATGAAGATCTGGGTTAGAATTGGTCTAAGAGAATTGCTTGTCATAAGAGGCGACTAACGGAATTGGGTGGTCAGTCTCGCTGACTTGGTTGCCACATGTGATCGTATCCCAATTGCGTAGATTGATGCTCATGCTGTTGATCACTGGATCATCTGGTCCAGACTCGATTATTTACAAACAGCCGCCATATAGCTGGAATATTGCTGAACAACACACAAACCAACCAAAACCAATCATAATGTTTCCATTTTTAGGAAACTGACAAAACTATGCACATGTTTATTTGTTGCTATTATGTTATTATTTATTATTTTAACACCTTTGAGGTCAGCTGCTTTCCTGCCTTATACATAACAGTATAGCATTTGGTTAAAAGTCTTTATAAAGTAATGTTTATACTCTCACAAATACATTATTGTTAACATGAACAATATGACATGTATAAAATTTACCAGTCTTAGACTGTATTTGTCCTGCTGTATCCCATCCTTTTTGTTTATTTTGTTGTGTGTCTGTTTTGTTTTTATTTCTTTTCTTTTGTCTTTTTTACAATCATAGGTGAGAAACATTTTCTCAGCTTTTCATTAATGTTATGAAAATCAGTTATGGATATCTGAATAGGAATTCCTTGCTTTTCAAATTGTGTCTACCATTGTCTATGACAATTTAGTTCTGGTGTATGTGTATCGCACATTGCCATTATGTTGTCAGTTGTTCACTTATAATTTAACAAAACCCCTATGTGTTTATCAAATTCATTATGTAAAAGGTATGAGCACATTAAATTGTGTAAAACAGGCAATGAATTGAAATCAGTATTGTTCATATTGTTTCAAACATTCCTGTGTAGATTAAACACTGTGAGAAAACTGTTTTATTGTACACTAAATTGGTTTCCTATTGTTCTGAAGACATCATACTGTGTTGTCGCTGTGTTGATGACATCCAAGTTTTCTTTTTCATTTGATATCATGGAATTAAAGTTGGTTTGTTACAGTTAAAAACATTTGTTTCCCCTCACATTTCAGATAGGGTGTGCATATGATATTTCAGTGAATTTGTTACTGTATATATTTTGAACTTTCTTGTTTAGTTTCTGTAATATTCCTCTATGATGTCAGTATGTATTGACAGCTGTTTCTTGGCACTGGAGTGTCAGGGTACCAGTAAGAGTTATCTCCCTTTATCCTCACCTGGACAAAGTCCTCCAAGTCTGACACCAAGTTACCTACATGTTATCACGTTGGTTTGAGAACTGGCTAAGGCTGTTTTGAGCTTGTAAGATGCTTAGATGCATTTGGAGTTACCTCCCTTAGTCTTGGATGGGCTGAGATGTGTGTAGTCAGTGGTGGAATGCAAAAGTGAGGTTAATGTAAAAGTGTAAATGGCATCAACATATCCAGTCCTTTCTACAAAACAGTGGTGGTTGACAAGTGTAATGATAATGTGGCCTTATCTTTATGTCTTTTTCTTGATTCCTACAGATTCCTACTTGTCTGATGTTTACTGACGTCCCATGTACATATGTATAGTTGATTCAAGCTTACTGAAACAATAGAGTATATATTTGTATATTAAAGTTTGGTAAAATTCATTGCTTGTATGTTATTAATGATGTGAACAAACAGTTAATGGAACAGCCATGAAGATCTGGGTTAGTATTGGTCTTCAAGCAACCCATGATTGACATAAGGCGACTGACAAGATCAGATGGTCAGGCTCACGGACTTGGTTGAAAATTGTCATCTTATCCTAATTAGGTAGATGAATGTCATAATGTTGATCACCCGATTGTCTGGTCCAGACCCGGCTAGTTACAGACTGCTGCCATATAGCTGAAGTATTGCTGAGAACAGCCTTAAACAACAAAGAAACAAACATGGGTTCATGACAATGAATGTGTTACTGGAGGATGGTCATCAGAACATCCCATCACCTGGGTAGGGAGAGTTGTGGTCTGAACACACCAATCAACAGAGGAGACAATGTGCCAATGTCTGCTTGCCATTTTCTATCTTTTCTAGACATTGGAATTCATTATTAGTGTGAAAGTCAGATATTGCCTCTTTTGGAAGGCATCATGTTCTGTTCAATTCATATACGGGCGATGGGGTAGCCTAGTGTTTAAAGCATTCGCTTGTCTCCCTGAAGACCAGGGTTATTATAATTATTATAGGATATTTATACAGCGCACATATCCACGCACTAGTGCATGCTATTTTTCCCCTCGATCATTGGATGTCAATCTCAACGGCACATCTTCTTATCAATCTCAGCTCCCTGGGGATCATACAACTCTTGCTGCCACTAAGGCGCACCGAGTTACTGCGGCTTTCCGATCCTTACGAGGTACCCCTTCGCAGCTGGGTGGACTGGGGCACATAGTCACAGTACTTTGTCCAAGTTTACTGCACGTTGATGTACCCGCAACAAGGTGTTTGCACGTATTCATGGGGCCACCATCTGGTCATATACCAACGGATTCGTGGGTTCTTTTAAGTGCACAGGGTTGTGTACTGTACACTTGGGTTGTGACAACACTGAAAGAGTCTGCACACACAGTTGGCTCCAAGGTATTTACACCGGTCACAGGTGGGCTCGATCCCGGCACCTCATGCTCACTGAATCACTAGCCTGGCGCCTTAGCCAGCTCGCACCCCGCGGTTCCATTCCTCACGTGTGTGACGACCATTTCGGGTGTCCCCCGCTGTAATATTGCTGGAATATTGCTAAAAGCAGCGTAAAACTACACCCACTTACTCAATTGATCTAAATCATACGATGTTGCTGATTGTTGATTCCCAAGTTGAAACTAAATGTTGTCTGGAAATCAGTCCGTAAAAGAACTTGGTTTGAAACCAACAAACAACAGCCAATGGTATATGATTAACAATTGTATTCCAAAATTAACTAAGTTTACAAAAAAATACAAATCACGACAAGGGTATTAAAGTGGCAGTACAGATTCAAAGGTAGTAAAACACAGAAGCAGTGGTTACAGTAATGAAGACAGAGATGGTGATACTACTAAATATTCAATGGTCAAGTTACCAAATTAAGCCTAGACTCGGTATCCAGGGTAAGAATGATCTCTCCACAATTGAATTGCTGCGCTTGTAAACTGAGGTGTAGTTTATGATAAAAGGCAAGAGTTATATACATGTATATGAAATACACAATACCATTTCAGAAAGTGGTCAAATGTGTTATATTTGGGATTCCACTTTCTCAGTAAAGTACTAATTCTAGTACTTTTTGGGGGGTTGTGTCCCATCCGGTGCCAATTAACGCTTATCAGAGGGGTACACAAAGTCTGCAGTCTAGACTACCAGTTGTCCGACTTCCATTTTTGTGGAAGCCGCGGTGGTTGGGCGGTCTAGGCGTCTGACTTTGTGTGCTGGCAACCCTAAAAAAGTACTAGAATTTGTACTTTACTGAGAAAGTGTAATCCCAAATATAATATATGCATATGTTACAATAGTTATATACTTAAGAAAAATACTCCAGAAAATTCTGAAAGGCCCATAGAGGAGTCACATCAACTTAGGATTTATATAGCGCTAGTATCCAGTGATCATTGCTCAAACGCGCTAGGAGTTCTACATTGACTGGAGTATATTCAAACACATCTTTTGTGAGCATATATGTCTTGAGGTGATTCTGGAAAGTGGCAACATCTTGAATGTTTCTAATGTCAGTGGGGAGACTGTTCCACAGATTAGGTGCAGCTGCTGCAAAGGACCTATCTCCAAACGATGCTTTGCAAGATGCTGGCACACAGAGCAGATTCTGATGACCTGAACGGAGAGTTCTTGATGGTCTGTAGCTGGTTATGAGGCTTTGCAAATACTTGGGTGCAAGACCATGCGTTACTTTAAACACAAGGAGGAGGATCTTGTACTGAATCCTTCTGGATACAGGCAAACAATGGAGTTGACGGCGAATTGGTCTTATGTAGTCAAATTTTCTTGTCCTTGCAATGAGTCTGCGGCTGAATTTTGAGCAAGCTGTAGCTTGTTAATGAGACGTTCAGGCAGATCAAATAAAAGAGCGTTGCAATAGTCCAGGTGTGGTAGGGCACAGGACTTGACTAACGTTGCTGCAGTCTTGTTATCAATGTATTTCCTGGGCTCTCTTGGTAGACAGTTCTTCTCTTGGTTTGAATGCCAAATATAACTGCGTATCATCTGCGTAGAAATGGGCAGATAACTCATGGGATCAAGCAATATCACCCAGAGGTGAGGTATATATTGTATATAAAGGGGTCCGAGAACAGAACCTTGAGGGACGCCGTATTTGAGTTGCACTCTTTGTGAAAGAGAGTTATTGATCTTTACTGCTTGATATCTTCCTGTGAGACACGATTGGAATAAGCCAGCCAGGAATAAGCACTTGAAGTTACACCAAACCTGTGCTTCAATCACTCCATTAGAACTGACTGGTCGATAGTGTCAAATGCCGCGGAGAGGTCAAGCAACACTAGAATCGCTGCTCCTCCAAAATGGGTGACACCATCCCACCCACTCCACCCCCTTAAATTCATCATCACTCCCCCTAGTCATAAATTAATAACAGTCCCTAGTAGAGCTCATCAGATGGGAACACTCCAGACTCACGCCTTGTCTCTGAAAATATATATTTGATAGAAACAAAGAACTGCATTTAAATTGAAAAGGCGCCCATGTGAGATTGGTGATTCAGTGAGGGATATCTGTACCTGGTTCACTTAGGACTTTTATGATACAGGTTGGGTGGAAGGGAAAATATTGTGGTTCGGGGACTGACAGAACAGGAGCACTGCTGATAACTCTAACGGTAGTCGTGGGTTGGAGATATTATACAAACAGTAGCTCATCCTCTCATGTTTATTCCAATGTGTGTAAGGGACTGAACAGTTTGGGATATATGGGGTTTCTTTGGACAAAAAAACAGTACTTGTTTCATTCCTCCCAAGAAGTAATTTTGTAGCATTGAACATACTAATAAAACCCCAGTCTGCTGACCTGTACGTACATCAAAGGATGTAGGTGAGGTGAAATGGGGATTGACGCTATTGTTTTTATTTACACGTGTGTACGTGCGTGTGTGTATGTCGGTCTTATAGTCGTATCGTACCATACCACGGTAAACACCCGTGAAGATCTGAGTTAGAATTGGTCTTCAGTAACCAAAGCCTGTCGTAAGAGGCGACTAACGGGATCGGGTAGTCAGGCTCACTGGTCGATGCTCATAATGCTCATCACTGGAATGTCTGGTCCAAACTCGATTATTTATAGACCGCCGCCATATAGCTATGGTATTGCTGAGTGTGGCGTCAAATAACAAACAAACGAACGAACCACGCTAAAGTATTGACAGGCACCTCGCACACAGATACTGATAATGAGCCAATTCATTGTTTTATCCCCTAAAGGGCGAACGCTCGGGGGATAGAAGGACCAACATTCCCTTCTCCAGACAGACACTTTATCCACAACACGACAGAAACCCCTTACGCTAAGGGACATATTCTAAATGGCTTGCTTCCCCTGATCAGTGCTTTTTACGTCCCTTGCATAATACAGAATTTGAAACAGCAGCATAAACATAACCCTGACCCCACGACATCAAGCGTGTTGAAGTCACGTGGTTTAGCATGTGCATGTTGTGTTGACATTAATTATCAATGCAGCGACTAGTCCTACTTTCGCTTTCGTTTCTGTCCTGTCCTGCATTTTCTCAGAATCTCACGTGATCTCATTATCGTCTGTCGTCGTTTGACTCAAGGATATGGTCTGTTCATGAACATTTCCTACATTTACCAGCCCGGAAGAACACACAATGGACCCGGACAGGTAGGGGATATATTTCATTGCTTCCTGCATAGGCCCAGCGGAAGTTGAGCTACGTCAGAGTCAAGAATGGCCGTTGTTGGACATTTTGAAATGACACTCAGACATGACAGCAGTTTTGTGGGTAGTGGCACGCAGCGTACTATACTATTCTCTCTCTCTCTCTCTCTCTCTCTCTCTCTCTCTCTCTCTCTCTCTCTCTCTCTCTCTCTCTCTCTCTCTCTCTCTCTCTCTCTCTCTCTCTCTCTCTCTCTCTCTCTCTCTCTCTCTCTCTCTCTCTCACACAAACACATACAAACATACACACATGTATCCATACGTACACATTCTCAATATCGTTTACAATGTTTAAATTTAATTTGTTTTACTTGAGCGGCGCCCGGAATTTAATCGTCTTGAGTTCAGAATAAAGTCTGTCACTGATGCGGATTGTATCACAAACAGAGTTGTCCCCCTTAGTACATCGCTCTTGAGTGTACATAGCAGTAAATGATATTGTTCGATGCCATATGGCTGGCGATAATGATACTGAATATCGCAGTGTCTGTGAGGTTATGGACAATGTGAATAGCGTGAGACACCGTCGTCTGCGTTGAAAGACAGTTTCATTCTGACAATAACATCCCCACGGGGAAACCCCCTCTCGCCGTCTGGTGTGAATCTTCGTGGCGTTCAAGTGGGGATGTGGTGTCAAAATGGCATGTGGAAATATATTGCGACAATATATTGTATACAGTATATTCAAGGAAACGGGGGGTATGATTTTCAAATTGCTATTTCATTACTGAAGGTAGGGTATATTTATTACTTAATTGTTGAAATGTTGATAAAACTATTCATTCAACAGAAATGGAAACGTGGAAGCTCAAATGTGTAATTCGAGAGTGAGATGAAGTCATCGGGATCGTCCCTTTTATGTATATTTGAACAGACCTTACAGTTTAATAATGATATTTCATCACCCAGATGATCTCTCTAAATTATGAAGAATTCCTTTTTGTCATGTTGCCACTCACTCACTCAAAGTACCTTTTTTCCCAAGTCCGAGGAGCCAGAGGTCATTGAGTAGGTCACCCTCGAGTGAGGACGTATCCCAGCCATCCCAGGAAAACGAATCCAGAGACTCCACAGGCAGTCCTGTAGAAACAGGCCACCAGCTCCTGGTTGACAGTGTGGAGGATGTTGAGAGCGAGCTGTATGTGAGCGATGCCAGTCCTTCAAACACAGCCAACAAAAGCCGATACTTCTCACCATCCTTATCTTCTGCCACCTTTGATAAACATAGACAAACAAACCCCGCGAAACAAAAGACCTCGCAAACGTTCCCATCCAAATATGGCAGTGCTTCTCGGATTGCTTCCAGCACGGAAGGCTTTCCTTACAAAAAACAGGACTATAATTCTGCTTTTGGGACTTCAATGACTTTCAGCCAATCGCCGTTTTCAGTCTTTTCGCCTCCAGCCACTGCCAAAGTACCATCGACTGAGAAATCCTTCAAAACAAAGCATGGTGTCAGTATCAGGATCTACGTCGGTGACATTACCAAGGTCAAGGCCGATGCCGTGGTCACAGGCGAGTCCCCCAGATCATCCGATATGAGTATGGTGACCCGATCTTTGTGTAGTCTCCCGGGTGGGGAGGAGTTCAAGAAGAAAAGAGAGACTCGTCGAGTCTCTAAAAGCGCCCCACGGGATGGGAACGTGTACACAGTTCATATGAAAAACGTCGAGTTTCCCTTTAAATATGTGCTTCAGGCGGTTATCTGCCCCTACGGTGACTCCAAGAGTAGAAACTGGTTGAAGACCCTGAAAAAACTGTACAGGAATGTGTACAAGAAGGCTGACGACAAGGACCTCAGCCGCGTTGCTATCCCGCTTCTTGGAACAGGTAAGGCAGTAACATTATGTACACTGTTTATAAAAAGTGAAGCCTCAACATTCATTCACATCGGTCAAATCTTGTTTTTAAACTTGTTCCCGCCGTGATACTGCTGGAATAAAATTTGAAGTGGGGACTAAAACTTTTCAGACTTATGTCTCTTGTCCACTCCAGAAAAACATGATCATTGGTTCTAATTCCTGTTCGCACCAGTTATGTTTTCTTGGTCCAAAGTGACACACGTGTAAGACCCGCATCACGTCGGGTTGTACTCCCTTCCTCACTCATCCAGCTGACAGTCCGTGATGTAGCTGGAATACCGTGTATATCGACGTTGCACTCAACTCACTCAGTTCGGAATATCAGTTTACGTAACTAGAATTTGTTTCCTGTCTAGAGTATAAATCTCTCCTTTTTTATACATATGAACATTTCTCTTATGACAATTTATTGTCTATTTCTAACTGACAGGACGTGGCCGTGGCACTGCTGAGGAATCCATCGAGGCCGCTGTGAGGACTTTGTGTCGGCACCGTCCTCTGTCTCTGGAGGAGGTCGACTTCGTCAGTCTGGACAATGATATCAACGATTACTTCCAGGTCATCTGCGAGACCACCTGTAGTCTCAGGTACAAGTATTTGCATGTGTTTTGACTTGAGCTTGATTTGATGGTTAAATCATTTAACTGCAAAATATTTCATTAGAATGATATATATATATATAGGTTAGGTTAGGTTGTACATGGGTTTGCTTTTATTTTCACATGCGCAGAAGATCAAAATTTTGAGAGTGACATTGCGATCTAAAATTGCATTGCTTCAAATTACAGTGATGAATCCAGCTCAGAGGATGAGACTGACACCAGTGAGACAGACGTGCATCCATATGCGTTCACTGCACACCCAGGTCCTGTGATTACACACGGAGTGTACCCAGGTACGGCACAGATAGGTGCTGGGTATTCACCAGGTCCTGTGTCTACACACGGAGTGTACCCAGGTACGGCACAGATAGGTGCTGGGTATCCACCAGGTCCTGTGTCTACACACGGAGTGTACCCAGGTACGGCACAGATAGGTGCTGGGTATTCACCGGGTCCTGGAGGAGTCTTCCCAAGTACGGCACAAAGTCAGCCTAAAGCTGATGACTTCGGGATCAACATGGTAAAAGTGAATGCAAGGGCATCATGGTCAGATAAGAAATCCCCACCACAGACGTCGCGCCCAACACAGTCGGTGGCTGCCATGCCACGCCCGGAAGCTCCTGTCGGACAGGTCCCCATCTTACCCGCCCTTTCCCTAAAGGTGAACGAGGATGTGCCTGCACAAACAAGGGATGACCGGATACAGAGATTAATCACACAGTCTCATAAATCCCCTACAGTGTCTCCAAATGATGTCAATGACTCGCCCGTTTCAATACCTGTTGTGAAATCCCTGTCCATGGCGTGTTTACCCGGGCCTGTTGGATTCCCTCTGCGAGACTCGTCTCCAGTACAGGATCTCACCATCACTGAAGATGCTGAATTAGAAAGCAATGCGAGAAATGGAGAAAGCAAGAGTGACGAAGACTCACCACGAAATCAGCTATGGGAACATGTTGCTGATTTCACCCTTCTGGAAGAAGAGACCGAAGAGAAAACTATTGAAGAGAAACGTAGTGACTATGAACTTGATACATATCCGAAATTGGGGGTTGAAACGGGACTTACAGTCTTTGATGACGGCGAAGAATTTCCATTATCACCCTACAAATCTGTCAGTGAAGCGGTCGCCAAATATGGAGACTTTGACGAAGCAGCAGGTGATAGCTACCCCGATTGGGAACGTTCTTATGAAGATACATACAGCGATGTTGATGATGATGGAGTAATAGCAGCAGTGGAGTTTGAGCCGTCAATAGATGAAAACTTGATCCAGAGGGGCAACCAGCCTCCCGGAACGATGACAGTTGCAACATTTGACCACTGTCACGTGTCAGGATACGAGGACGTCGGCATCATTGTCATCACTTACTCCATTCCAGGAGGAAAACAGACGGCAAGTTATTTCTAGTGTCACCCTACCCCCTGCGTGTGCGTCCGTGTGTGCGTGCGCTTGTTTGTGTCTGTTTTAAGGCGGCAATGTTACGTGGGTAGCATTAAGTCATCATACTCCGATAGCCTGCTCACACTCATAGCTCAGTCATTGCTTTAGAAGGTCCAGATACACAGCCGTGGCACTGTGTATGTTGCGTAAAACCGCCCCCTCCTTCCATCCTATAAGAATCCATTTCTGTTTAGGTGGAGAATTATCCCAGTCGTCAAGGGCAATATTACCCACACATACTTCGTCTAATCCAGGTTATACGCCGGTGTTCTCTTTAGCATTCCCGTGAAGATCCGGGTTAGAACTGGTCTTCAGCAATGCATACTTGTCGTAAGAGGCGACTAACGGGATCGGGTGATCACGCTCGCTAACATGGTTGACACATGTCATCGGATCCCAACTGCGTAGATCGATGCTCATGATGTTGATCACAGGATTGTCTGATCCGGACTCAATTATTTACAGACCACCGCCATAAAGCTCAATACTGCTGAGTGCGGCGTTAAACAACAAACAATCCTCTTTTGCACTCAGAGTTTCCCTTCGTATTTAAGCATAAGCGTCCTTGTTCATCCTCTCCTGTGCCCAAACTTTCTCTAAAATATAAACTATCAACATACCTGACATGATTGCTTCGACTTCTTGTATTATACAACGTGTTGTGTTGTTGGTATTTAAAGGATGACCACCCACACCCCGGGAGGTTCTACCGTGGTGTAAATCGACGGGCCTTCCTTCCTGACAACGAAATGGGGAGAAAGGTATTGCGCATGCTCGAGATCGCATTTGACAGGAAGCTGGTATTCACAGTCGGAAGATCCCTTACTACGGGTCAACCGGATGTGGTCAAGTGGGGACACATCATGCATAAGACGAGCCAGGACGGTGGACCCGAATTGTGAGTGAACATGTTGTAATTTTCTCTCAGCTTTATTGAGATGGGCTGGTATCAGGCGTATAATAATTATAACTATTTGTTTCAAAGAATAATTTTAATGCCAGTTTATATACTAAATTTTATTGTTGACTTCTCCATCAGAGATAAGAATAATACACCTTGAAACATTACCAAAAATTAAATTATATTAATTTACAAAAAGGGACTCGGGACCTTAGCTGCATCAAAGCCTCAAGTGAGTGAGTGAGTTTAGTTTTACGCCGCACTCAGCAATATTCCAGCTATATGGTGGCGGTCTGTAAATAATCGAGTCTGGACCAGATCAACAGCATGAGCATCGATCTGCGCAATTGGGAACCGATGACATGTGTCAACCAAGTCAGCGAGCCTGACCACACGATCCCGTTAGTCGCCTCTTACAAGCATGAGTTACTGAAGGCCAATATTCTAACCCGGACCTTCACGGGTCAGAGCCTCAAGGAGTTGGTGTAGTCTATCATACAGACCCTGAAGCAAATATAGAAAGCCCACGCAAGTCTAGAAAATGTGGCAAGTCTAGATTTCCACAGCTTCAGGGTCTCTGAAAATGAAGAAAGTCTCAGGGCTCCTTTTCATTATATTTTATTTTGTTTACTATGAGCTTTTTTCTGTAAAATATGTCCATTTCAGAGACTAGTTTATAGTCTAGGAGTCTAGGAGTGGTGACGGTCATGGCTCTGAACAGTATTTCAGCTCCATCACTCGTGTCAGACTAAGGTCGAAGGCTCGCACAATATGGTGCAAGTTTATGGGCGTTGGTGAAGGTCACGGGTATGAGCATAGTTCAGGAAGACCAGTGATGACAATCCCAATTACCTGTAGATGTACCTTACAGACAGCTGAAACCACTCTCAGTGTGGCGAGTTATGCAGGCTCAGAATGCGGCTGGCGGAAAATCATCGTCGTCTTACTTCAACCCGATGAGGGATACCGTTGCTGGAGAAAATCAATCAGTTTCCCCTGGTTCTATTAGTCCGCCTCCCGGTCACCGAGCCATATTATTTTCCCTTTCGCCCAGCCCATCTGTGATGCCAGAGCCCTAAAAGAAGCAAGTCTAGATCTCACTCCGAATCTCATTCGGGCTCTTTTTCTGTTAAAATCGAGTTACTCGAATGTTATCGAAATTATGTAGCCGAGCCGTGTTGTGGTTTATCTCGCTATGTTTCAGATACGGGTACCCTGACCCAGAATATCTCATCCGTGTCGTCGAAGACCTGGCAAATCTCGGCATCGTCGACAGCAGCAACGACACAGTGGACGACATGAACAAACTACTTGATGATGACCTCTCACATCTCGGCATCGTTGACAGCAGCAACGACACAGTGGACGACATGAACAAACTACTTGATGATGACCTCTCACATCTCGGCATCGTTGACAGCAGCAACGACACAGTGGACGACATGAACAAACTACTTGATGATGACCTCTCACATCTCGGCATCGTTGACAACAGCAACGACACAGTGAACGACATGAACAAACTACATGTATTTGATGATGATGATGATGATGAGATAGCAGAGTAGCTGTGACTTTCTGTATGTAATTGTTACACGAGAAACGTCACCATGAAGAATTTAGAACTTTGTGAACAGGACAAGATGCATTACCGTATATCCTTGATTAAACACCCAGGCATATTTTTTTTTCAGACACTCTCTATCCCGGGCAACATTCAGTGCATAGAAAGTGCCCGCGTGTAATCGTGACATTGCGAAGTTTACTGGAGACACCAGCGTTTGATCGAAAACATGGTAAACGGGTTGAGCTTCCTAGTCAATGTTCAAGATATAGCCATTCTCTTCCCACAGAGGTTACTTGTTATATCTTCCTACGAACCTCTGTTCTAATACGGCCCTTTCCTTGTGCGGGTGTTCAGGATTCGTGATTGGTGGCAATCAGATTTAGTTGTGCAATCAGTGACGTTGGCAAGGCCTCGGTAATTTCCGTATGCTTCGGGAAAACTAGAAACTCTTCCCCTGTGCGATGCGTAGACGTTTCTTCTAGACAGAACTCAGTCATGTATTGGCGGATCAATGGCGTCTTCATCGCCCTCGTTGACAACGGACAATCTATCCATTAAATGTCTTGTGTGTCACATCAACACAAGTCCCCGTCAGAGGAGAGATATTTGTGGCCCCACATTTGATTGTATTAGCAAAGTTGGATCGAAGTCGACGTACCACCTGTTCTGATTGGATAGAAAGAAGGGAGATAATTCGTGTTGCGATTTTTTGCCGCTAGGGTACGAGAACCGGGAATTATGGCTGTATTAGAACAGAGGAAGATATGACAAGTAAGCTCTGTGGGAAGAAAATGAGATATAGCGTGTAGCGATATAAAAAAGAAATTATTCCAGCCAATATTAAATTGTTATTTATGTGTATGTATGTATGTATGACATAGTCACACTGTTGCCAGTTGCCCTGTGGTACAAGCCGCCACAATTCGCGGCTCGGCGTCCTCTAATCATTTTAGGAATCGCTTATCACACGTTGGAGTCCTATCTAAGTCCTCTGAGCATGTTCGGTGCTGGAGTATTGAGGTCAACATGACCGTGCACGTGATCGTTCACGCTGACCGCAATGATGTATGTACAGTTCTGAAATACACAAACAACCACCAAATATGATCTCGTTTGTACATGACGCCACATTTCAAATGAATCGACTAAATCATATATTCCTTAAAGGTCACATGCAACCAAAAAATCAAACATAATTAAAACACAATTATCACTTCTTCATGACATATAATATGCATTGCTGATTATCGTTCACTCGGCAGGACATTTTTCATTTATTGTACATGAATGACAAGTTGAGGAGTTACGTGCCCTTGACTGGTTTTCATTCCAGTGTATTTCCAGGCAGTGTAACTGTGTTTTATAGTGAGAACAAAATAGTTATCCTTTCACTGTAGGATCGATGCATGGGTGAAAAACAACCTTTTAATGTACTCCCTTTTGTGAAGACTCCCTTCACATAGTTTTTAGGGTCACGACGACACTATGAAGATTTCAGAATGTTAACCTGAATTGTCAGCAAGGTATTTTAAGAACGGTTCACTGGATTTTCTTCATAGACTTTCAAGACCTCCCTTGAATGTTTTTCAATAAGCACTTTCTTTAGTACTAGTTTTGCATATTTCATACACTATGACATTCATGTCAAGGTCAAAGTCAGTTTTTAAAATATGTGTGTGTTTGAACAACTAAAGAGCAAGATAATGTTTTTGTTGACATTTAACTTCATCTTAAACTTTCATTACTTTATAAGTTTGATTTGATAATTTGCGGCGGGGGATTATGTCACCTTAGTGACAATGCTTGTTTTTTAAAGAATTTACTATGTTGTTTCAAATTAAATTAATTTCATCTGTCTCAGTGATACCTTCTGATGAAAGTGCAGTTGTAATTATTTATTAATTAGACCTCGAATGCGTTTTCTGTATTGGACTTATGGGGATCTGTCGATACAAGTGACCTGTGATAATAACTGTTAAAATTGCTCTGTGACAATAAACAAATCATACCCAAGAACGTCTTGTTTTCACCACAGTGCCAGTCTTGGCTGTTAAGACATCTCGGCTGTGACGGATGAGTTGGACCTGAGTGTTTAGACATATCGGCTGTGTCGGATAAGTTGGACCTGAGTGTTTAGACATATCGGCTGTGTCGGATAAGTTGGACCTGAGTGTTTAGACATATCGGCTGTGTCGGATAAGTTGGACCTGAGTGTTTAGACATATCGGCTGTGTCGGATAGGTTGGACCTGAGTGTTTAGACATCTCGGCTGTGTCGGATAGGTTGGACCTGAGTGTTTAGACATCTGGGCTGTGTCGGATAAGTTGGACCTGAGTGTTTAGACATCTCGGTTGTGTCGGATAAGTTGGACCTGAGTGTTTAGACATCTGGGCTGTGTCGGATAAGTTGGACCTGAGTGTTTAGACATCTCGGCTGTGTCGGATAAGTTGGACCTGAGTGTTTAGACATCTCGGCTGTGTCGGATAAGTTGGACCTGAGTGTTTAGACATCTTGGCTGTGACGGATGTGTAGGACCTGAGTGTTTAGACATATTGGCTGTGACGGATAGGTTGGACCTGAGTGTTTTGACATATTGGCTGTGACGGATGTGTAGGACCTGAGTGTTTGGACATCTCGACTGTGTCGGATAAGTTGGACCTGAGTGTTTAGACATCTTGGCTGTGACGGATGTGTAGGATCTGAGTGTTTAGACATATTGGCTGTGACGGATAGGTTGGACCTGAGTGTTTAGACATATTAACTGTGACGGATGTGTAGGACCTGAGAGTTTAGACATATTGGCTGTGACGTATGTATAGGACCTGAGTGTTTAGACATATTGGCTGTGACGTATGTATAGGACCTGAGTGTTTAGACATATTGGCTGTGACGGATAGGTTGGACCTGAGAGTTTAGACATCTTGGCTGTGACGGATAGGTTGGACCTGTGTGCCCATCTTGATATACTTTACCTCTGTGTTTAGACGTTTCAACTACTATGTGGGCAGTTTGATTAATCATCTAGTTCCTAAACACAGACACAGACACCCGGAAATACGAGACATTTATTGCTGCGTGTCGTGTTCACGGCCATCTGACCCATGCACTGTAGACTGCCGGCTGACTAGCGCTCATCACCATGCTGTAGGTGGTGTTTCTGAAACGTGCAAGACTTGGAGGGTGAAGCATTGCTGGTAGTCCTAATAACTGTAAATACACACGTTTCGTCCCTGGTTTTAAGACTTGGAGGCTAAAACAATAGTCGGATTTCTATTATTCTGTTTGTTTGTTGCTTAACGTCGTTCTCAGCAACATTCGAGCTATATGTCAGCCGGCTGTAAATAACCGATCAAGTATGGACCAGACAATCCAGTGATGATCGATCTACGCAATTGGGATACGATGACATGTGTCAATAAAGTCAGCGAGTCTAACCATCCGATCCCTCTTATGACAAACATGGGTTGCTGGAGACCAAGTCCCACACGGATCTTCACAGGTACGTATTTCTAATAACGTTAAATGCTTAGTTTCTTCCCTGCCTTTTAAACATAAGCACAAACAATTCTTAAATCGTCATCTTGATCCTACCTTAATTCATGTGATATTTTTATCACAACTTGACAACGCCTAGGACACACTTTTAAAACCTACAATGTTTCCACATGTACAATTTGCTGTCCGTCTTGGGTAGGGCTGCGCAATATAACCGGTTTACCGGTATTTACCGGTTCAGACATGAAAACGATACGTATTGCGATACGCTGATCGAAAACCGGTATTTTGACTTGCATCGGAAAACTTCGTAACACTCGGAAATCTTCGGATATTTCCGTTTTTCATTTGTGCCAAATATTATTCACATTTTTATGTTTAATCATGAATAAAAGTTGTTATTAAAGCTTAATGAAGCATAGTGATTTTGCTGTGTATTTGCTCTATAAATCAAGCATTATCTCGATTATAAGTAGTTTTTTGTTTAAAAATACTTCATGCAATATATTGCAATACATATCGCAATACATGCTTTCGCATCGCAATATATCGCAATATGAAAATTCTCTGCAATACCCACCCCTAGGCTTGGGGTTGTAAGACCATTGACATCACAGAGCAGGCTTACGGTGTTGTCCATGTGGTATGTTACATCGTACACGACTATCTTCAATGTATTGGAGCACTTACTCGTTCATGACTGGTCGTGTAGATATGACGTTAAACAAAGACTGTTTGTTGACTCCCTGTGGTCCCAAGGCATTCATGGTCTTCTCACCGACAGCTCTATGGATGGGTAAATGAATACGATTTATCATCACCTTTCTGAATATTACACAGGACGAACGATCCCATGTGGGTAAGTCAACGAGTTACATGTATTTCTATTCGAAATCATATTTTTTCACTCTCCCATGACAGTTTTAATGTGACAGGATGTCAATACACAGTAAGCTTTCATTTTATCATTTTCTCCCAAAATGTTACATACGTAATGAAACTGGGGAACATTTCAAGCATTTAAGATGTTAATTTCAATTACAAAGAAGCATCGAAATGAGTATGGGTTATGTCGTGGTAAGCAATATACCACCAATCCCACGACGGGGGCGCCGAAAATGGGCTTCATACAGTGTACCCATGTGGTGAATCGATCCTGTAAAGATACTCTGTCCCTGTGGTGTAGACAGCTCGAACTGTATCACTGTGGGTCAGTTTACATCCCAAACATGCAGTGTAACCTACCTCCTGTCTTTGTCGTAGGGTGGGGGCGTGGTCCAGTTGTCATAGTTCGTCTCAAGGACATAAAATCTACAAAAAGTAATTTGATCAAAAGTTACAACAAATGTTGGCTTTTTCTTCCTTTCTATAATCGGCTCATTATTTCCTTGAATTGGCCTCTATTTATTCGTTGATATCTTTGCAAATTTGCCACACAGTACTAAAGAAAAGGTGCAGATATGTGGGAGTGATCCTGTTGTCATAGTTCGTCTCAAGGACATAAAATCTGCAAAAAAATACTTTGATCAAAACTTTCAACAAATTTTGGATTTTTCTTCAATTCTGTAATCGTCTCCAGAAATTGGTCTTTGTTCATTCGTTGATACAATTTGCATATTCCACGCCATACTATAGGAAAGGTGAAGATGTGTGGGGAAGTCCACTTAACTAGGGGTGTCAATGTAGGACGAGGACACTACTCACTTCCCCTGTGCTGGGTTCATGTACATCTGGTCCACAGCTGTCATGCGATCACGTGTGATGACCACACCCTCTCCTTGATTCACACCTGGAGAACAGACATTTACCTGTATTTTCAATAGAAACAAGAAACAAGCGCTATGAATAAGAGGACCCGTGAAGATCTGGGGTATAATAGGTCTTCAGCAACCCATGCTTGTCACAAAAGGCGACTATGCTTGTCGTAAGAGGCGACTAACGGGATCGGGTGGTCAGGCTCGCTGACTTGGTTGACACATGTCATCGGTTCCCAATATCGCAGATCGATGCTCATGCTGTTGATCCCAGGATTGTCTGGTCCAGACTCGATTATTTACAGACCGCCGCCATATAGCTGGAATATGTCTGAGTGCGGCGTAAAACTAAACTCACTCACTCACTATGAATAAGAGATGACAGTTTGACAACACCATCAAAGGGAGAGTGCGCTGGAACTGCTTGAATGAAAATTAAGCACTGCAGATTATGGTCATTTGCAAGATTCGCTAAATACTTATGTGTATTATAAACTGGGCATCGTCAGATTGCAATCGAGGTTTTCAAATAAGCTGGTGGACTTGGCCAAGTAAAACCCGTTCC